GGCCCTTACAAAAGTTGATTTTAAAAGTAAGCATGCGATAGTATTTGCATCAAAGAGGAATCTAATCTTGACATACCTGGTACACACAGGTACAACTACATACAGCAGTTATGAATTAAAATGAATTAAACAAGAACGAAAATAACCTCAAACATTGCATTCTTTTTTCGGATTAATTCTTTAATGTTTTTGATAATTTAGTTCATTTGACATTCTTCTGAAAATGTTATTTCATTGATGCCCAAGTCTAAATTTCAGAGATAATATGTTATTTGGACAGAAAATACCAGTTTCTAGAACAAAAATCAGGTGATTGTATGGCACATCCAATTTAAATATACCGATAAGCGATATACAAATGTATATAGCCTGCCATCTTTTTCATTATGGTAGCCTGATAACTTTGAAGAAAATGGATGAGTTTGTATATTCTTATGATCATGAGCGAACATTAACTGACTTGTTCAATTTCTTATATTTATATACTGTAGCACTTGTCAGACCTTATCCTGGGAACCAAAAGTCCCTCGAGCTCTCTCCCAAACTGTGATATCACAAGACATGCATTAAAAGATAAAGGAAATGGAACAACCAGACCTGGATGAGAATTTGGAACCGTTAGTTTATTATTACAACAGCTGGCTACCGGGGATTGTCCCACTTTATTTCTGCCACTCCATAGCTAAAACCTATAGGCTAATCTAGACAGAAACATGTAACTCATTGGTTTATCTATTATATTAACATGTCCAGACAATTTAGATTTCACTTGATATATACATATAAATTGTAAATGGGTAGTAAAACACATCACAACTTCATCAAACTATATACTTGCATACATCTTTTGAACATTTGGATTATATGTATTGGAATTCGAATAATGTTGAATTGTCAATGTGTGACCATGCAAGGCCCTGGGATTACAATTTTAAATATGGTGACTTGACTTTTTCCTTGACAAATTCAGTTCTTGTATATATTTGTGTCTATACTGTGTACTACTGAATTATCTTTACGTATAATGTATTCTTTACTGCGAAATAAACATTCACATCGTAACTGTAATCCACACTACATAAATTTCATCTGTTCCATGTTTGTATTTAAAGGTTCCGAATATATTTAGAAATAAATCCAAGGTAAGGGTTCAAAGTGAGACCGAGGCTGAGAGTTAGACTGAGACAGTAACTGGGACTGAGTGTGAGTAAGACCTATTTCAGACTTCCCTTACATAAATGAGTAACCTGTATTTATCGTCAGAAAGTAGAAAATTCTTTACTACTCAAAACTTAGTGACAGGTGACGATTACTTTTAACTTAAAGTTCTTCAAAGTGATAGGTGACACCTAGACCTGGATTGTTACAATTAAAATGTCCACTAATATTAGTGTAATGGAATTAGGTGATGGCCTATAATATAATCTTTTCCTGTTGACACCAGGAAGCTAGGGATTATCTCTGGCATCTATTGCAAATCCATAACAATAGATACTTAATTACAGGTAAGGTAATTTTACTTCCAGATTATGTGACACAAAGATACATTAAGAAATGGTTCAGTAAGAAACAATTTTGTTTTAATTTCAAATGCATTCTATAAATTCGTAGAATAAAGTTTAAGTAGAAAGAATATTATAAATTGTGCAAATGCAGTATTGCACTGGTGAAAAATGCAAACAATTTGAAAGGTTTAAAGTCTGAATATAGGTCAAGGCTAGGTCCTGCTCCATCAATATTACCTTTCTTTAGATTGAATGACAGGCAATTAGATTTAAAGTCTTACATGGTACAGTTCTACCTATATAGCCATAGGTCAACACTCAATAGCATTCCTGAATCTACTTTACCCCTAGACCTGCAGGTTAGGGGGAGCAGGTGGGGGAATTGACCTCTAAATCTTTTTTGTCCATTGTGAAAATAATTCCACCACCCCAAGTTGGGTGTCAAGCTACTATATGTCTAAGGCGAGATATTTCATCAAGGTTGCATGTATATACAGTAAAACCTCGTTATACCGCCACCTTTTTTCCTCTGTGATTTTGGCAGTATAACGAGTTTGGCAGTTAGAATATCAGGTTTACAGTTTTAAACCAAAGTGTTCACACACCAATTGAACTTATACTTTAATAAAATAATAATTTATTTCAGAATACGTTTTTTTTCTTCAAAATTGTAATTAAATGTATCAGTCGGCAATCACATGTAACAATACTATGTACACACGTATGTAATATTCCTGTCATAGGGATATACCTGTACTCGTCTCAAATTGGCAGCATTTAACGAGGTCAAAATATTGTGATTTTAACCATATGTTTTGGGAAAATGATGGCGGATGGCCGTATGCATTAACATTCGGGAAAATTTGTTCTTAGTAAATTAATAGCTGTATGCAGGTTTGGCAGTTTAACGGGTGGCATCACAACAGGCTTTTACTGTACCAATATATTATATATATGTATGTATTGTATTGGAATCATGTTTTAGTTGCCCTAGAATTTGACCGAGTATACGTAACATCAATTGGACAGCTGGAAACAGGTATCTTATTTGGCTATCCAACTGCTCAGTACTAGTTCCCTTCAAACAAAATTTCTAACTATATTTATGAGTAAGGAGGCAGGACCAAAATCGGATCGGTACCTAAATCGGATCACTCTTTGTAAAAATACTTTTGAATGAATAAATGTATCAACATTTATTTTTGTACAAAACTTAATATCCTTAAAATACATAGTTATGCATCAATTTTAGTCGAGAGATGATTTACTAATAAGTTTAAATAGCATCATGATCGGGAGATGTACTTCAAACTGGAAATTTAGTTTTTGTTTACGTTATTAAAAATTGGTGCATTACAAATACTATGTATTGTGATTCGGACTGTAGGAATAAATTCAGAATATAGAAATACTTAAAATGTCGAAAAGTAAATGTCGATTTGGAGCACAAAACATTACAAAATGCAATCTGTGATCCATTTTGGTTACTAACCATGACATTGCAAAAAAACAAACACAACACAGATAAGCCAATTGGTGACATCAGAGTGTTCTATAAAAATCTTGGGTGAGCCCTTATAAGCTATTGTGTATTCGGTGGTTAGAACACTGATCATTAATCTTCTTTTGATCATACAACCATAAACTAATATAATTCATCCGCTGAATTTTCTATGAATGCAGAAACTGATGGTTTGGTGATCCATTTTTGGTACCGTCGCCTTAGTTAAAAAGTATAATAGAAACATCCGTAATAAACAACTGTAAAATCCTACACAGTACCTATAAACAACTGCAAAATCCTACACAGTACCTACCGGGTATGTACAAGTAGAGGTGTAACAATTCACCTATGCACGGATGTATTGGATCCAAGGGCCACTATACGATGCACCAAGACTGTATGGTGATATCTACGCTACTTTTAATTTTGTACTCTCGAGCTCCCTTGTTGGAACTCTTCAAAGAAAAAATTGTTTCAGCACTCAACAAACCAAAATAGCTGACGGAGAAGATGAGAATAACGTCAAGGCGTCTGCACATTTAAAGTCGCTTATTTCGCAATGGTTTACTTTCAAATCTGCTAAATCCAAAAATTATGTATTTGAGATGGACACATTGTTCTTTTATTGCAATAAATGTCAGAGAAAACTGAAATATGCGTGAAATACCTTGAACGTGTACACGCATATGAATCGTCAATACTTCGATCTTCCTACAGTGCCAGTTAAAAAAAAATCACGTTTCACGTCAATAAGGTTAACATTAAAAAGGATGTCAAAACAAGTCAGTCTTATATTACTTCTACATATGTATGTTGGGGAATAAAGACAAAATGTGACAATTTCTGTTCAAAACAATTGAAGATCGCAATCGGTAAATATATTGCCAATGATCTTCGTCTGTCTTCAGTTCAATTATGATTTGAAGCCAGAAGTGAAGTTATACGAGAATTAAATGATGTCTACATAGATTTTTTGTATTTAATGCTATTTTATATTGTACCTATTATACTCGCCTGATAAAGGTTTTCAAATAACTGCTAATCCACATTGAATATACCTTCCAGATATCATCATGCATATCGTATCGCAACCCATGTATCGTTATACTTATCGCATCGCAGCATCACTCACGATACAATCCCCTACATACAAGTGTGAACATTATACAGGAACTCGTTTTTTGTACGTACACTCATATAGTGGAACCACCTGGAAGGAGATTAAGTGTTTACCCCTACTTTGGAGGCATTTAAAAGTGCTAAAACTAATTACCAAAACTAATATAAACTGCTCTCTCTCTCTCCTATTGTATAGAAACCTGAACCAGAATCTACTTTATAACGTAAAGGTACAGTCAGAGTCACTACAGATAATCCACCACTCTTTGGTGATAAATGCTCGACTATTTATTTTTGTTTTATTTTATGATAAATCATCAATGATCATTCGGGAAACACTGATGACCGATTATATATTTTGAATAAAATCCCTGCACTTTATTGTGGTTAGGTCATACTGATCACACAGATTAATTATCACTTTTGCCAGCGAGTCTTTTATTAATGCGAACATTTTAACTTTAATATAATTCCTTGTAAATCCAGTAAAATATGTTTTAATTAACATCTCTCTCATTCTTATTTAATCCAAATAACTAGCAGACTCTGCAGACCAATAGAACAATTCAAACATAGACCAGGTTGGACACGTGCACATGATACGTGCATCAGTATGTAACAGACACACCCTCACTGCGAACTGAAACAACAACTAAACTGCAAGGGAAATTTTAATGTAAATGGTATCACAAGTCCACAGACAGCGACAAAGAACATTCTGTGTAACACTGACGTATACCTCATTACCTGTGAGAGATAGTAGATGTACAAACATGTAGTTCTGTGCAGCTGCTTTACTACATGTTATATTACAGCCACAGGAATCAAGCAACCAAATGACAGTGATTATACTGCGGACATTAAAAACTTACGATGTATTCTCGGACAGCGTTGTGGAACACTTCCTCACGTTTATCTACATCCACGTCGTTTTCCATTTTAATATGTTGTGTCTGTCAAAATCATGGAGTACCAAATAAGTCGGTCATCCCTTCTTTACAAATCACTGAAGTGGAACCATAGTCAGCATTGTAATCATTCCGCCATTTGAATAAATTACCCATAATTCCATTTGTTATTGAAGTTAAAGGTTGAACAAAATTACACAAAATGAAAACAAGTGTAAACGCAATATCTATATACTAGTTTATTGTACAAATAAAACATATTTTTAAAATACCGTTTATTCATGTAATTACTTAATTGAGGATAATAAAATTATGGTAATATTATAACTATAGTTATCTGAAAATGCAGTTATGTTATGTTTCTTCCGTACGGTAAATCCTATATATGGCTCAACATCAAGCACTGACTTTCCTCTTGGCTTCATTTTGACTTCCCCTGTCGGAGAGTGCAGACGAACCAAACGTAAACAGCAACGTGTTACTTAAACTGGTTAGTACTAAGTAGGGTTGTGCTGATGAAATGGCATTCACGAATAGACATAGTTGTCCTGTTTAACTATATATACTAATGAAGAAGTTTACGTTACGGTGTAAAGTCCATTCCGAAGATGGTTAGTAAATGATTGCGTAATCAAAAGCAACACGTGAATCAATATGGTAAATAAATAACAAAGTCAACAAGTGAGATTATGTTATTATGTTAGAGTTGCGATATTTCGTTCACAATTTCAATAAGACGGGATACACATATGATAGGTATGAAATTAAATTAGGTGCAGATTTTAACAACCCCCTTAAAGACTACTTAACCAAAATTCCAACCTCTTGTAAAAAAACAGAAATACTCAAATTGAAATCGAAGTGTATGTGCGTTATTTGCATATATTGAAATTGTACATGATATATTTTAAGGTTTATGTCACACACAAAATAAACCTCCAGATAAGTTATATTCAAAGTAATTATGTATTTTTTTATATAATTAACTTAATCAATAGCTTATAGTGGCGGATCCAGAGTTTTTTGGGGGGATTCAGGAAACCCCCCACCATGGGAATGTTCTTTAAAAATCATGTATTTTCCTCAATTTCCCCCCACTATGAACCCCCCTGGAAATTTGGACCCCCACCCAGGTAGGTCTCTTGATCCGCCACTGTAATAATAAATAAATTATTACATGGTATCTAACCAGGTTTATGTAGTCAATATTTAAGCATTAAAGGGCTAGTGTTCCATAAAAAGTTCACACGATTTATAACATGTCAATTTTTTTTTCAACCCAACTGAATTATACGAAATGTCGGTAGTTGGATGGGTGATCGCCCGCACGTTACATTTTGTGGTAGCCTACGCCGTAGTGACTCAGTGATCATGATCATGTAAGGCCAATTCCTGGTGATTAGGGAAAACATATTGATACACAGGGATGACCTATTGGATTCCCCAGGACAAGACTTCTCAGAGGGGGGTCTAGTGTAACAGCTAATGAATATGAGGGGGAAAGGCTGCCTTACTGGCAAACTAGCTTTGCCAGTGATGCGCTATAACTCTGGGAGCCGCTCAACATCGTGCAGTGGTCAATAGTTGGATGGGTGACCACCCGCATGTTACAAAACACCATGTATGTTTTAGCAGTTTATTAATAAGGAAAGAAAGGCTTAAGTAACCTACATCGATAAATGAGCTATATATAAATACATTGTATTGTGATGTTATAACTGCATGGACATGTTATAAACACTAAAACTGAACAGTCAAAAGACTTTTTACATGAAGTTTATGAATTAAATATGGTCACAAGGTCCTTGGTTTTACATACATATACCAGTAAAATATGACACTAGCACATTTTACCAGAATTTTGTGCATTCCCATAGCCACAATCATGACCTAGGTATATAAATGAACTTTGGATAGTGGACCACAAAGGAAACTGGCATGTTATAACATTTTAGGAAACATTTTCATGAAGACAAAAGACTTATTGCTTTTGTACTGACACCTTAAGCGTTGCTAAGCACCATTTTTTAATAGCTAATGTACAAGTTCAATAAATAGAAATGACATATCTTATGATGAAATCTGACTCAAAAATACCATAATTTTGGGTCTTTAAATATGAATTTTGAGAGGGTTAGAATGTTTGATGATTGACCAACATGTTTTATTGAGCTGTTTGTTACCCTTCTTGTTGCAAGTACATGTACTGCTATTGCAGATCAATATGACTGTACCATAAAAGTTTTCACTGTTGCTCTACATTTTCATGCTGTGTTGCTTGTTATCTTTCAGATAGTTGTAACTGGGTATGACTTTTTATCAGAATGCCAGGCCTTTCAAAATCTGATCGCTTCCTTTTATTGTACGGAACCCAGACTGGTCAAGCTGAGGCTATTGCCAAAGAAATAGCTGAGAAAGGGGAGGCACAAGGCCTTAAGATTGAACTTCATGATCTAGGGAAAACGGAGAAAAAGGTAAAAATATAGGAGGTTCCCTGATACTAGTAGTAACTATGCATGTTTTCAAATCAAGATTGTGAAGGTAACTTTATCCCAGAATGTTTGCAAGTATGTCGCTTATTGGGATATTTTCATGGTATCAGCATATTTGCAATGTCATGATCTAACTCTTCATCATAATGTCTAATCATTAAACATTATTGGTTGTACAATTTCATATAGGCAGATTCGAAAAATATTGTACTAGCCCAAACTAAATTTTCAGAACAAAAGTAATGAGAATTTTCATTAGCTCTGCCATGAAATCTACTAGTCCCAGGCCTGTGGCTGGTGGAATTGAGCATCTGTGTGATATCATTATTTACTTTTGAAAACTAGATACAACCACATTAGAATCATGCTAGCCTGATTAATACAGAAATACACTACCACTAGTCCACTATACAAATGTTATAATAGTAATCAATCATGACATGATGTTTGAAGCAACGTATTTTGTGATGTGTACCATATGTCTTATCAAACCTTATTTATTAATTTGAAATACTTGGAATACAAATTGAAAATGATGGTTAATGAATATATTTGGTTTTGCTTCCTACAGTTCAACATAGAGAGGGAGACCTGTGTAGTGATAGTCACTTCAACAACTGGTGATGGAGATCCTCCTGATATGGCCCTCAAATTTTTTCGAAGATTGAAGAAAAAGACATTGCCAGACGATTACCTTGCCAACCTAAACTATGCATTGCTAGGTTTGAAAATATTGTGTTTCCATAATTTGTACAAGTCATTTCTAACGACTCGACTCTACCACGTCTCTTGTGGTTAAGTTTTTTGGTATTAAAACAGTGTATTCAATATGCTACGGAATGTCATAAGTTCATTCCTTATTTCATTATTACATGGGATCAAATTTGTATGTTTTTTTTCTACTTAAAATGTATAGACATAATTCATATATTTGATTGTAAAATTGATGAGGTTTGATCACATTTTATTAGTGAAATATTAGGAGTTTTCACCTGCTTTGAATCAGAATATTCAGTATGTTAAAGCTTAATGTGTTTGATGTAATATAACTTACTACTGATAAATGTTACTCTTTATTCATTAATACAAAACATTTTAAATAAAACTCATTATACAGTATCTGATATTTCATTGTTTTAATTTCAGGTCTTGGAGATTCCAATTACACAAATTTCTGTAATGCTGGAAAAACTTTGGACAGTCGACTTGAAGAGCTTGGAGCCAAGAGGTTGTACCCTTCAGGCTGGGGTGATGATGCAGTGGGGTAGGACATATTAGATTTTCTGTCTGCACACACACTGATACCAAATAGGCTCAGTTATTATTTAGGATGTTTTCAAATGTTGAAACTCAATACTGAAAGTTCCTTTTTTTGTATGGATTGAAACTAATCATTAAACCATAAAATTGAAAGTAAAATGGTTAACACAGTTGTGAAATATTGGCACCTTTGAAGAAGATCTTAATTTTGGGCGTATTGTTGATATACATTGTAGATAATTTATTAAGTCAGGATCATGAGCCATAATATTCTTGGCATATAGTGCATGTAACTACAGTTTTAATAAACTGTTATTTAATAGATTGTTCAGATAAGAAATGTTATATTAAATGTTGTTTGTATTTCACAGGCTAGAAGTAGCAGTAGAGCCCTGGATGGATGGGCTTATTCCAGCTCTGTGTAAACACCTTGGATATCCCTATAAGGAAATTGAGGTCGATATATGTACTGTTAAGGCCTCAGGTGATGAAAAGACCTCTCATAAAGCTGAAAGTAACATTTCTAAAGAAATGGAAAATCCTGAGTATGTGAAAAATGGACTTAAGTCAGAAGCAAATGGAGATACACAGTATGTGAACAATGGGCAGAAGACAGAAGCAAATAGCGATTCACTTCCGAAAGAAATCAGTAATACCCAAACAATTGATGGAGCCTGTGGTGGTCAGTCTAACGATGAAATCCAGGACAGTGGTGACTCACAACTCAAAGAGGCATCTTTACTGGCTTCAGTGTTGCCATTGTGCGGGGAAACACTAACAGTACCTTTACTTTCTCAGGCATATCTCAGATTGGAATACCTGGACTCGGAGATGAAGGCATGTGTTGGTTATTTATGTTCACATACAGATTTTTTCAACATTTAGGTGTTATCCTTTTACCTACTTGAAAATCTTTGTTTATATTTAATCTTGTGAATCCCCCAAAAAGATGAGATTATTTATGGCAAAATTTAAATGCAAATAATTCACGAAACAGATAAAGTTCAAAGAATTAGATACATATTTATATTTTATTTGCGTTTCTATATTTGATGTATCATGTATGTCGGTAAATTTTACAGGATAACAAAATTAGTCAGACAGTAATACAGAATGGAGTCCCCTTTCCTTCTGCTGCATCATCAGTAACTATGGCAACAGTTTTATCTAGCACAGTGATGACACATCCAGAAGCTTTAAAAAAAACAATCAGTCTACGACTTGGCATTGAGGTTTGTAACAAATGAGAAAGGAAGCTAAAAAATTCAAATATACTGAGATCTGTAGCATATCAGTTGTATTTCAATAACTCTCTCGATACTTAAAAATGTACTTCAAAACTCTTGTCAAATATTTATGTATTAATGTTGTTAAAACTGTGTAAATATTGAGATCTGTAATAACTTTGTCAAATCTGTGTTGAAGTCCTTGTCATTATATAAACCCCCATAAAATCCCCTGATATAGAAGTTTGTAACAAATCCTTTTTGAATATCCAAACATTGAGACTGTTACAAGCCTTTGTCAGACAGCTAGGTGTTTAGGTCTACAAAACACCATGCTATATCTTCAGACTATACTGTTTTTGAAGACACTGATGAATTGATCATGATTTAAAATCTGCTTGAGTGCCTTAATGGACATGATAGTTGTGCATTTGATATTGTTTGCAATCAAGAGTGAGTTTCAGAAAACTATCATAGAGGATTTAATGTATTATTTTTGGAGACTTATTTTTTGGATTTCAGGGATCTGCCTTTGACTACCAACCAGGCGACAGTATCTCTGTTCTATGTTCTAACAGTGACGAGGAGGTCACAAGGATCATTCAAAGGTACATGTAAGAACAGCATGGATTACACTATGTGGTAGATGTACTAGTATGGTTGCTGAAAGAGTGTATACTTGTGAAAATATCAGATCTTTTTCTTGGACATCTCCAGCAAAATGATCTGAAGCTCTGTTAAATGACTTTCCATAAAATGTAATGCACTTTTATACAAACATACATATTGGGTTAGAGAGTACAAATTAGTGGTGAGATGGTTATTCATAACAGTTATAAAGGCAGCCATATTAGAAAATGTAATGTCACGAATATCTCATGAAAAGTGTATTTATATATTAAGGCTTTAGGTGATTTATTTATAGAGTGACAAGAATAGTAAGCACAAATGTTTTTTCAATAATTTAGAAAATCCTTTAGTTCATTTAACTTGCTATTATATTATATAATGATAAGGAAACTTTAACAATTACACTAAGTCTATTGTTGTTTTAGCCATGTAAGTCCAGAGAGCCTAGTCCTTAAAAAGTAATATACAATAGATGCTGTGGTTAATGACAGGTTTTATGCCGATTTGTGATCCTCATCTAAAACTTACATGAGGAGGGGTAGTTAAATATGAAGCTATCACATATTAATGATGATAGTTGCTGTAATTTACAGACTTGATGTGATTGATAAGGCAGACAGGTTGTGTCAGTTCTCTATCATTCCTAACACTAAGAAAAAGAACCCAACAATTCCTCAATATTACCCCTCGGACGTCTCCTTACGCCATCTTCTTGCCACTTGTGTTGACCTCAGAGAACCCCCAAAGAAGGTAAGAATGCACAATATTTCAGTGTACTGTTTAGCTGTTTTTGTAAGTTTTCAGTTTTTTGAAGTGTTCCTACAAATAATTGCCCATTTTGACACAAAAAAGGGCATTTTAATTATTTTTTCATAAAGCAATAATATCAAAATGGTACAGTGTAAATTATTATATTACTGCATAAATATTGACAATGTAAGATTTTCAAAAGGTTAACTATACACTTGCACAAAATAAAAAGGACATGGAGTTATTTTATTTTGCTTTTAATTCAAAACAGATGCTTTTATTTTTCTGTACCACTGTATTTGTGCCTTTTGCAGGCTGTTATCCGTATTCTGGCAGAGTACACGTCAAAAGAGCATGAGCGTCGACGTCTCCAGGAGCTGTGTAGTAAACAAGGTAGTGGGGACTACACACACTTTGTACGTGAGGCTGGTGTGAGTGTCCTGGATCTCCTAATGACTTTCACCTCATGTACTCCACCTGTAGAAAGACTTCTGGGTAAGTGGGACATCTGGTCTCATTTCCATAAATATTCCTTGAGTTTAAGTTAAGACTATTCAGAAACATAGGCAATGCTTTCTCTATGGGGAGATTAAAGGTATTCAATGAAAAAAGTCTTTCTATTGACTACCTGTATACCCTTATTTATTTTAATGATTTTTTTTTGTAAATATAAATGTATAATAAATGAGAGCTCATTTATTTCTAAGCCAAATTTTATTGATATTTTTGTAAAGTAATAAACATTGATTTTTTTTGTAAAATGTTGCAAAGAGAATTTAGATTTATAAATTTTAATTACAGAACATTTGCCAAGATTGCAGCCAAGGCCCTACTCTATTTGCAGGTATGGAAAACCCCCAGAGAAACCAAATACTGGTTAATCAGTACCAACTTTTATGGCACATCTTAAAACAGCGCCTGCTTGAATTCATAAGATTTGTGTCCTCTGTTAATTAATGGTTTATAGTTCATGTGCCATATGGAGAATGATAAAGGGACAGGGAGAGGCATCATCTTTTCAGAAGGTTTCATTTTTGACATAGCTTGACAAACTGCCTGTCTGTTAAATATATCATGAAAGTACAGCCTTTTTACCATTTAAAAAAAGAGCAGTAAAAAATATTCATTTCTGTAGACAATCAAAGAATAAAGATTTTCATATAAAAAAATAAGTAACCTCTTTCCATGCCAGTTATCTCCCTTGGAGAAGACATGTCCAAAGTAGAGAGATTATGGGTACATTCGCGTGTCCGGTTGAACCTGTAAAGAAAACAACAGGCACAGATCTGAACCGAGGCTGACTTCAAGAAAAATTTGGAACGGGTAGATTGAGGGGTCCAGGCGTACCTGACCGAAACTAAAATGCTGACTATTGCTAGTTTGCGTTATTTCTTTCTAAAACAATGTCAAACCTCGTGTAGATTTTAAGATAAGTTATGTAATTTAGTGGACCTGTGAAAGAAGGGCATAATATTCTTGATACATTGTTTTTTTATTCTCCAAAATTGTGCATTTTTAGCTCTGCTTATAGAACAGTCCAAGTGCGCTCGTTTATCGTGAAATATTTCTGCGCCACACGTACCGTTTCAACCGGGATACGTGAATGTAGCCTTTATGTTAGATAAGGTTTGTTTTCGATTTAACAGCTCTCCTGTAGCTGACCCTGGTGTATTGGAGGTGACCTTCAATGTTGTGGAAATCTCTAGTGGAAGTGGTCGTGTGTTTGACCGAATTGGTGTGTGTACAGGAATGCTTGAACGACTGACCAGACCTATACAGAAGTCCTATGGTGACCATTGTGTATCATCACCAGAGGAGGACATTTCTGATCAAGTTGCCAGTTTACAGTTATCACCGATGAAGGTTACTATTCATATAAATTTTGAAAAGGCAATAACAGATTCATCTACAGCAGATCGATAAATTACTTTACTTTATGTATTATTGAAGTATTTTCACATTTTAAACAAAAACTAAATGATGAATTTGAAAGGGACAAAAAATCATTACCTAATTATTACCTATTCATAACAACTTTAAAAGCTTGACTTGAACATTTTCATGATTGTTTTCGTGTTGATAAAGTATCTACATGTATTGAAAGCAATAATGATATATCTTATTCACAATGATCAGGAATAGGTTTCGACAGAAAAAAAACAGGGAGAAATACTTAGACTTACTGTCTGTCTATGGTTGGCAATTTAAGAATCTTCTACCTCACTGAGTCATCTTAATTGAACTGTCTCATCCCCAAAAGGGGTAGGAGATTATATAACCAGGGCCATTTACATTCCCACATGACTTATGTTTTACATAAGATTGTTCTATTATACACACATGGGTATGCAAGATGAATACAATCTTTTCCTACATTGAAGATAGGACAGAGAAAATTCCTGAGGGAGCAATCAATTTTCTGCCCCAATTTCCACCAATAACAAAATGAATTAAAACAAAGTTACATGCCTGCTATAAACATAAATGACAATTTTTTTCCCCTATGTTTTAGAGGACCAAGAAAAAGAGAACTTTTACATGGAGGCTTACATGAGACATTCGTGTTTTGCATATGTAGCAATAAGAAATGTGTTATACCAATGTGTTTTAGTTAATGAATTATGTATGCCACTTTTAGCTTCCTATATTTGCACGGACAAGTCAACACTTCCACATGCCTGATGACCTGACAGTGCCGCTGATCTTAGTAGGACCTGGGACGGGTGTGGCTCCGTTCATTGGCTTCTTGCGCCACAGGGAGGCCCTCCATGCCAAGATGGCTGATCCTGCTTTGTACGGAGATACCTGGCTCTTCTTTGGCTGTCGTCATAGAGACAAAGATTTCTTGTACAGGTGAGTCATAGGAAAAATTAGTGCTGTACATGTATAAAAAGTCCACATGTCTCAAATATCCGTGTAATTATTGCACACCTTGTGACTCTTACTGTTGCAATACAGCCAGTTTTCAGACCATATAACACTGTTTAATGATATTGTAATACCAAATATTTTGTGACCTCCTGAAAGTATTATTAATATGCATTGACTTTGTTACAGACCATATTTTCTTAATCCTTAGTCACACTAAGTATGCTTTGAAGCTAGCCACAAAGAGTTAATATACTGACATGGATATGTAATGCTGTTTTATTGTTTGGTTAACCCCAAAGTTGATTCATAAATGGTATAAAAAATATATTTGTATGGATTTTGTATTTTATAGAAGAGAGTTGGCTAGATTTGAGGAGACTGGAATCTTGTCAAGGATGTGTGTGTGTTTTTCACGTGATGAACAAGACTCTGATAAACCGCGGTATGTCCAGGACAATATCTGTAGACATGCTGCAGAGTTAGTTCCCCTGATCGACAAAGGGGCCAAAATATTTGTGTGTGGGGATGCTAAACACATGGCAAAGGATGTAAATGAGGCTGTGATAAAGTCAATACAGGAGGTTAAAGGTTAGTAAAGTTTATACTACTGTTTTTACAGTCAAACATTCTGCAAGTACCAGTTATTTGAATATGGAAGATAAAAATAATTCCATATACTTGCCAGGTTAACTCATTCACCCCTGAAGACACATTTGAACTCTTCCAATTCATAGGTTTGAATAGTGCATTATGAAATTTCAGGGGACAATGAGTTAAAGCACTTGAATATGAATTTGAATTTGCAAATGACTCTTTCTCACAAAATATATGTGAATCGACATGATGAAAATTTTCTGAAACTTCGATTTACAATGTTTTATCTCCTTGATTATTTGTAAAAGCTTGCAGCCTACTGTGCTAGCTAGTACTTTTTGTATCGGATTAAATTTCCAAATAGAAAAGTCAGGAAAAATGGTTATATAATTTCATTCAAGAGTTTCAGGTAGCATTTAGAGAGGGAGCATCTGAACTCCAAGCTGTTAAATATTACAGTTAAAAAAAAGTTAATTTCATTCTACTTCAGCCATGATGTCTTTAAAAAAATGTCCATAAATTACTGGTGATTACAATATTTGCAGGTTTTGATAATGAAGAGGCAAAGAAGCAAGTGATGAGGTTACGGTTGTACAAATTCTACCTGGAGGATGTGTGGACTTGAAAGCAATAGTTTTGATAATACTGGTCCTTGATGAAAACAGCTGTGATGAAATAAGTGAATTTGATGGTGTCTCATAAAGCCATCAACTTCGTTCCACATTGTATACTGTAGATGTGGAAACTTACATACAGAATAGTTGACTCCACATTGTTCTGATTTTCTCAGTGTGCACATAAAGGTTCCACAACAAGGAACTGTATTCTTTTTATAAAGCTTTTCTCACTCCAGTGAAAGAAACTGAAATAAGAAAGATTTTTTTTTTAATTTGAAAATAAAGTTGCGAAAATTAGATTTACATGATAAATAATAGCTTTGAATTGTGGATCTTAATTTTATCAGAATTTTAATGACATTGTCGATTGAATGTCAATGTTGTTTTATTAACAATGATTCAGGCAGTGTTAACATTTATTTTTATATATATAAGTTTGCCAATTCTTGTGCAAAAACCATTCAGCAATGTTTACAGCTCAATAACCAATTTTTATGCATTTTACCTGAATTGTCTGAAAGTTAATTACTAGAGATTGGTATCTATGTGTCTAAAATCTTTTCTGAAAATTAACATCCAGTGAGACATACTAAGTAGGGTGCAGCATCATAATGGATGTTAAAGTGTAAATATTACTGGGAGCTTACATTATTTCACACTCAAGACATTTTTGTCACATCCAATCAATCAATGTACCAGTGTATTGGCCAACCGGTCCATAGACATAATTTTGTTCTCAAAATGCATCCAATTCACTTTAGGCATAACCACAAATCACTGTAGTACAGCTGTACCGGTATGTGCATCAATCATACTGATCCTGTGATTTCTAACAGATTTATTCTTCTTGTACTTTGCCTTGTTAAATCATGAAGCAGATTGTAATACGGTTATTAGGTACTGAACAAGCAACTATAGTGAATTACTCGGAATATTATAGTTTTTTTCTCTTATTAAAATACCATTTGGCTACATTACAACAACATGGGTACAGAAGTATCAGATTGGTAAATTATTAGGGGTTAGTTTTATTCTAGTCTTATTCTTTTGTGCAGATAAAACTTTTAGTAAATGGATGTGGACATGTTTGTTACAGAACACGTCAACACAAAGGAATTTATTAAAAGTTCTTACGAAACTACAACTTTTTTGTTTTAATTTTTCCAGTCTCCAATGCAACGGACCAACGTTTTCAGTTTGTCTAGGTGTCATTTCTGTTAGACTTTCCATTTAGATTCAGACAGGATAATTTTCTTTCAACAACGTTTCTTAACAAACTAGTTGGTAGATTTTAACCACCAATTATGGTAGAAGCATCCTTAACACACGAGAATCAAAGGTTACAAAAATAACGTGGCTAACATTCCAGGGGCTCTCCTTCCGAACTGATGGGCCGATTTTAGCCTCACTTAATCAGAGGACAACTAAAGGTTCTTTGTATTCTTTTTCAGTTCTCGTCATTGAAAAATTTAATACAACTTTGAATGTTTAAACAGTTATTGAAGCTTTAAACATATTTCATCCCTGGGACCTTGGCTCAGGTCATTTATATGAGGACAAGTTGAATAGCTCTCCTCCTAAGGTACCTACAGGTATATAACTAGATGACTTTTGGAAGGTCAGTTTTTAGGTCACCTTAGCTTTGCTCATGTGACCTATTCTGATCGCTTTCTGTCCGTCGTTGTCTGTCGTGCTTAAACTTTTTACATTTTCGACTTCTTCTTAAGAACCAGTGGATGGATTTTTTTTCAAACTTAGTCAGAATCATCCTTGGTAGATGAGGCTACAAAATCGTAAAATTGGGATACCTATGCCAACCCTAGGGCCAGGGTGGGGACCCAAAGGGGGAAATTAATCAATATTTCAAAAATCTTCTTCAGACTCAGAGGTACTACAGTCAATTTCTCTGCATGGATGGAAAGATCATCAAGGGCTTTATTCAAATTGTAAATTTCAGTACCCCAGGGCCATCTGGTCTCTTTTGGGAAATTATTCTTGGTGAGAATCATCCTTAGAGAAAGATGGTATCAAATTGTAAAATTGGGATTCCTACCCCAACCCCAGGGGCCAGGGCAGGGCCCTGAAGGGGAAATTAACTAATATTTCAAAAATCTCCTTCAGACTCTGATGTAGTACAATCAAATTCTGTATATCTATTTTTCAGTTTTATTACCCCCCCGGCCATCCGTTCTCCTTTGGGGAGGGGGTAAAGTTGACTTTAGTTTATATCTAGGGAAATAACACTTTTGGGTATATTTTGTCCATTTTCAGCTGGAAATTATTTAAACTTTGTTGGAATGATTATGATGCCAGATTGCAATAGGATCGTACGAGAAAATAAGATCCTGCCTCATCCCCAGGGGCTGGAGGGTTGGGGCCCAAATGGTTAAAAGTTAAAATAAATCTTCTCCATCAGACTCAGATGTTTTACTGTTCATGGATGGAAAGGTCCTTACCTAAATTACCATTACCTAAATTGTAAATTTTATTATCCCTCAGGTCATCTGCTCTCTCCCTTGGGGAGAGGGTATAATTCTCAATAGCAAAATAATTTCTTTGAATAGTTTTTTAAGTTCTTATCCTTTGTCGACATGACAAGTATTGTATTTCACTTTGTTTAAATGTTGTTTTCCACATTTTGAACATCTCAACAATGAAATTGAGTTACTAGTACCTATAATATAACTCNTGTTGGAATGATTATGATGCCAGATTGTAATAGGATCGTACGAGAAAATAAGATCCTGCCTCATCCCCAGGGGCTGGAGGGTTGGGGCCCAAATGGTTAAAAGTTAAAATAAATCTTCTCCATCAGACTCAGATGTTTTACTGTTCATGGATGGAAAGGTCCTTACCTAAATTACCATTACCTAAATTGTAAATTTTATTATCCCTCAGGTCATCTGCTCTCTCCCTTGGGGAGAGGGTATAATTCTCAATAGCAAAATAATTTCTTTGAATAGTTTTAAAGTTCTTATCCTTTGTCGACATGACAAGTATTGTATTTCACTTTGTTTAAATGTTGTTTTCCACATTTTGAACATCTCAACAATGAAATTGAGTTACTAGTACCTATAATATAACTCGGGTGACCGCTAAGGCCCTTGGACCTCTTGTTTAAAGCTTTATGATTATAAAGTTTGTTGATCTTTTCCCCTAACAAGCACTAAATGTTGACCTCGCATGTTTTTAGTAAAAGATTTGCAATGCAGGTCTTCATTACATACCCAAATATCATGTACTTGATGGTTCCCTCGAGTTGACATTGATTGTTTTAAACAGTTTTGACTCCTGTGGCCATGAAAGGTCAATTTTGTTGAGTTATAACCCCCCACTGCACTGTTGATCTACAAACATACCCAAATATCGTTATTCTTCAGAGAATTTTGATGAAGTTTCAAAACATACTTGAACAGTCACCTTGAAAGTAGGTCAAAGGCATTTATTTGAAGAAAAGTAATTCAAGGTCAAAGATGATTTTGAAGAACACAATGTTAAGTGTATGCAAAAAATTGTTGATTATAATTGTTGTTTTCTACTTTTACCAATATTCTTTTCTCTCTTTTGTTCTGAAATTCTCATTTCTCAGTCAAAATGTTAAGATCTTTCAAGAATATTTAAATATCAGAATGTATCATGATTTCAAAAAAAGTATCATATTATAATTGATGGATGTATTGACATTCCATTGGATAATAACCGCCATATAGTTGTGTACAAGGTGTGCTGAAACGGTGTTATTGATGTATATTTCAGGAACAAATATTGAAAAGAAAACAACTTTTATATAGTNTGAAATACAGAAAGGCAGCACTAACTCATTGTAAGGTAAACTTACTGGACGGACTTTTAAGTTTGAAATATCTTCCTTGGAATGCATGAATAGATAAACTTGGACAATATTGGTGTAGTTTGGTATGTAAATTAGGTCAAAGCAAACATCTTTTTTCCCCACAAATTTCAACCTAAACAGACAATTGAAGTTACTTGGCCAATCTGATGATGATATACCTCTCTTTGCCTGTATTTCCTCTCCTGTTTAGAAAGATCATTTTCTTCATTCACAAATGTTTGAAGCACTCCCTGATTTGTAACAGCTGACTGATATGTAAATGATGTTGGTTTGCTAATGAGGTCCATAATTAGAAGAGTATAGGCTCATCCTCGTACTCCTTGTCCATGTACTGGTCTATTAGTTTTTTGTACCAAGGTTTGCGTAAGATTTCCATCTGAGCCATGTGGTCCGCCTTGGCCTTCATTGACACAGGGACTGACCTACTGGAGAACATGTCTGTATCTTTTTCTGTTGCTTGGTCTAGGCCAGGAGCCACTGAAACACAGACACATTCAAATCTACATACATGTGACTTAAAAATGTACAAATATTAGTTGATATACAGTGGAACCTTGTTACACTAGTCACCAAACTTTCATTGCCATCTAAACTGACAAGAATGTGAAACAACTTCCTCATGGAGACTACTGCTCAGAAAAAGACAAATATGCATGATGGCTGGACAGATGGACAATAGGGTCATTGGTGGTTGTAATATTGGAAACTGCATTAGTGATAACATAACTGTTGGGCAACTGGGTTATAATTAGTGGTAGTTTGGAAATTAGAAAACTGCATCAGTGACAGAACACTGGGGCAACTGGGTTAGGGGTAGTTTGGAAATTAGAAAACTGCATTAGTGATAACATAACTGTTGGGCAACTGGGTTATAATAAGTGGTAGTTTGGTAATTAGAAAACTGCATTAGTGACAGAACACTGGGGCAACTGGATCAGTGGGGACTGGACAGGGGGACAATTGTGTTGGAGGTGGTTAATAGTCACTGTCAGAAAAATGTTGCGAAGTACAAATGAAGTGGATAGTTGGGCAAATGCATACAGGTATGTGGTGGCTGGACTGTGGACATGCAGAACAAATATAAACAATTTTCGATAAATCAGACAAATATTTTGTGAAAATAAAGAATACCTTACTTGGTTTGAGATAATAGCAAATATTAATTTGTTCTTAAAACTATATCCAAGTGACTTAACCTTGTGTGACTTTTAATTTCAGTCTGAACATCCTCATTACATGTTTTTGAATACTTGTAGCAAGATTGGTGACATCTGTTGTGGGTACCTTTGACCTTTATTATCATTGACAAGATCCTCATACCTTACCTGGGTAAATAATATCTTTGTAAACAACCATAAAATATAACATATAACTAGTACAGAAATACATGTATGTTTTCCAATTCCTTGAGAAAAAATGATGTTTGAAAAACTGCAAACACGTTATTGTACAATTTGGCACAGAGTTTCTGCGGCTTCAGACATTGTATATATGGCCAATGTCTGTAGATTATTTTGTCGCTCATTACTTTAAGATGTATATAGAGAATAATACATGCCTTTTTCCATATCACACCCAGTATCAACCCGAGACTGCAATATATCAGCCCAAGGGCCGAAGGCCCGAGGGCTGATATTGGTCGAGGGTTGATACTGGGTGTGGAAAAACGAAAGGCATGTTTCATTCTCTTTATTACATACTTATTAATAAAAGCTTCTATCTTATGATCTATTTTTCTTTTGAAATATTGAAAAACGAAAAATTTCCAAAAGGGGTGTGATACAGGTTTTTGGGTGTGATACGGCGGGGGCTGATACGGTTTTTGGGTGTGATACTGTGAGGGCTGTTATGGGTAAGAGCAATTGTATTGTATCGCATGTACAAAAAAAAACGTATTTATTAGTAAGTATGTAATAAAGACTTATAAACATTAACTAGCTGACAGATTAGAGTAAGATTTTGAAATTTTATTTCTGATATACACTTACAAGAAAGAAGTTCAGAGTCTCTGTCTATGCGGCCAACCAAAGCCTCTCTGTGAGTCTGTTTCTCCCTGTTTGTGCGTGCAGTCATGTAATACCTAGCCAACATCTCCGAAGCTTTGTTGTGGATCATCTCCAAATCATCTTTCTGGCAGTAACGTGCCTACAATGTCAAAGCTGAAGTTAAATACCCCAGAGGTATATGTAACATGTTTCCTGTCTGCCTACCAGTACACTCTAATTACCAAACACAATATTAATTGTGATAGATATAATTGTAACAAGGACAATTCTAACCATTAGCAAATCCATCGGTGTACTATCAGTAGATAATTATCATTTTAATTTTAACTGTATGGGACCAATATTTATGTTCAGAATATACAGAATTTAGGATAACATAGCTAGGTTCAATTAACATAGAAATGCATGGATTGGGACCTTTATATGTTCTGAACATTTCTGCTTTACAGTAAACTTGGTTTGGTTTTGTATTACAAAGTAAGATTTAAATGATCTAAACATTTTTAACTTATCATAAATTGTTAACCTAATTAATTTTCCTCCATGTTATCAGTGACCTACAGGATTTTCCTCCCGGTAAGTACGAACTTCCTTCTGCAGCTCTACTCGTCTCAGTTCAGTCAACCCTGGTGGCTTTAATTCTGCACGGATCTTTTTCTTTCTTTTTTCCAATCTTTCCAGCCATAACTTAACCTGAGGTATAAAAATGGGTAGTCGTGATACATATCTGTCTATGAACCGATGCTTATGACCTATATCTTTGTATATGAACAACAATGACAAGTGTTGATGCATTACATGTAAGGTTGACAAAGTCAAGGTCACGATTACTTAAGATAGAAAATAATCTTATGGCATGTACACAACCTCCATCTCAGGAGGTTAAGTATCAAGGTAACAGTGTTTAACATCAAATGTCAAGGTTGCTATTACTATATGTAGAAGAGTTTTCTCATTCCTCTAGATCTAGCACTGGAACTTCTTATTTGTGTGAAACAAATAATAAATGGCACTGGGGCATTAATGTCTTACAGACATTCTCTAGTTTTTTAAGTCTAATATTAATCACCTTGCCCTACAGATGGTGATGTGAACACATCTTCACCAATAGATACTAAGAGTACTTGAAGTTCTGTGACCCTCCATAAGAAAAGACGATCATGGCATAGAAATTTATTTCTATTTCCAGTTTTGAGACAAACTTATGGCACCAAAAGATGTAAGTAAAGAAAAAAAAAAGAAGTTCAATGAACCTGGATGTAAACCTAAAGTAGTAATGGCCTGGAAACATTTTGTCATCTAGTTTTTATGTGTGACACACCTGTACCTGTAGATGTTATAGCACATGAAAATGGAAATTTGAAGAAGGCACGTCATGGTTAAAACTCTGGTATTGCTCAGGGAAACAGAATATTGGTCACTGTGACCTTACCTTAGTAAGCAACACTCTTTGCATTTCTATAATTATGTAACACCACATAAGATTTGTAAATCTGCAGGAAAATACAAGAGGACTGTGGTCTTGATACAATTATGGAAAAACAAATGGCCAGAAACACAAACAACATAAATACCCTAAATCCCATCTCCCTTTTCAAGTGTGGTAATAACTAGTGTTCTTACTCCCTGCTGTATCTTTATAGCAGCCTTGACCTGTCTGGCCATGTCTGTTCGCTTCTTGTTTGATTTTCGTATGTGATGACCACGCCACATCCTCTGTATGGTCAGTGCAGCCTGGGTTTCCTCCTTTTGTAGGTAGCTCTCTACCTTGGCTGTACACAAAGAAGTTAACACATGAAACACATGTAACTAACATAAAACACTACTGTCTAGTGTTTTTGCCATATAGAATTGTTCAGTAAAATTTCTGATAACAGTAGAAAGGATTTTACAGAATAATAACTCACCAGCGGGAAGTATTTCTATGGACTGCAGCTGTTTCTCCTTAAAGTCCCTCATGATTCTTTGGCGGTTCAGCTTCAGTTGACGCTGCAGCTCCAATGCTTCCTTTGCCTGTTCTTTTCTTTTCTCCATCACACTTTTCTTTGTCCTAAAATCCAACAAAATCATTTTAATGAAAAGTTTTCTCATCAACTGAGTAGCGTTACAGACCAAAGCAGTTCTGTTTTCAATGATTCCATTGTGAAAAATAGTAGGGATCAATCTGTACATGTGTCCTCTACATCCACATCTCTCTACAGATTTTGTTTTCATCTAATCATCATGAAATTTTACACATACGATCACAAAATCGTTTTTTATAATAGTTTGCATTTTAAACTTCTGTGGTTGAAAACAATGCCATCGTTACTATAAATAAAACATTTATATCCTCACTAGACTTCATCTATATAAAGTGTCACAAAAAAGAGGTCACTTTTGCTATCATTTATAAATAGAATTTAGGTGTCATCACTCCTATTAAAAGACTGCCATAAAACTTCATGAAAGTTTCAGCAAACAAAATCTCTCACTTAAGTTTTCATTTCAACCGTCCGAGGTAAAAAAAAGTTGCATTTACTGTAGATTTAATTTTGGCATTATCACTCTACAGGCTTGATTTCTTTTCTTATTATCATGAAACTAAACACATATGTTAATAAATGTCACATCTTCTAAGAAGTTATTTTGATTGTCAAAAGGTCAAAGGTTACATTTGTATGAATAGGATTTTAGCCGTCATAGCTTTAAATACATTAATTTTTATCACATTGTCATAAAACTTACAATACATGTTCATGAACATCACACTTTGCTCAAGGCCATGTTTCCATATATCACTTGTTACTATAAATAAAGAGAAATATCTTGTATCATTGACCTTGAATCACTCTATACACTTAGCATTGCTAGGTTATTAGTCCTGTCTGCGATACCTTTTTCCACTATGATTCCATGTCTATCTTTACCAAGATGATTCAATATAACAACGTTTGACAATGATAGAATACATCCCTGATGTGAGGTATGGATAAAGTTATTCAAACCCAAGGGATAAAAGATTGAGCAGGAGACCTGAGGCTTTGCCAAGGGTCTTTTGCTCAATATTTTATCCCGATGGTTTGAAAAACCTTATCCTTACCTCATATCAGGGATGGATTCTATTTCTTGCTTATTACCTAAAACCCGTAAAAGCAGCTGCTCTTCTAGTAAAGTTGTAAACTTTCCACACATTTCTCATTTGCATATGAAACCTGGATGGCAATTGTTAGTGACGTCAATGACCCTGACTGACCCCAAAACGTCATAAAACGATATCACGAACGCCAGTCTGCGCGTGTAAGCGATCTAGACCCGTGGGTCGGATAGAATTTTCTAGCAACGCTGGAAATGCAGATATCTCGGTCTAGTATGCAAGAATGTGTAATCTTTACCTGTATGTCCTGTGGAATTTAGTGAATGCTTTGTTGGCTTTCTGTAGCTTCACTCTTGTAATATAGCCACGCCATCTTGTCTGGATCAGAATTGCTGCTCTGGCAAATTGCTGCAAAAAAGTTTATCAATTAAGACAACTGAAAACCATAATGTTAGTGAACCTAAAAATGTAAATCTGACTTAGAACATTATACCTAACATATATGTTTATACACTTTTTGATGAATGTAACAAATATGAGACAAAATTTCAATTGTTAACCTATACATTCCTAACATTTACAGAGAATCAGCATAGACTTTACGCATACTGTTAAACAATTTTGATTTCAATTAACTTTAAACCTTATATCTCTTACATCATTCTTGCTTCATAGAAAACAATACAAATAGACAAGAGGCCCATGGGCCTTAACGGTCACCTGATATATTTATNCAGGCACAATACTATTAACTTGCCAACACCAACACCACATGCAGTGAAAAGGCCTGTTTTCAGGGCTTGGTGATAATATGATTTTGTCTACAGTATGATCAAGCCAGCTAGCAAGGTCAAAATAACCTGGAACCTATAATATAATATTAGGTACATTTTTTTGTGTGACCCTGCTCCTGATGTTGAAATAGCTGATCACAACTTACCTGTAGTCATACATTGTTTACAACCTGTAACCGGCATAGCATTTTCTGACAAAGGAAATGAAGTGTGAATATGTTTCAGTGGCTGGAACATGAACTTAAGATCATATGGATGAAGATTTACAGTACAGCCATACCTCTAACTCTGCCATCTGAGCATTGCCAGCCTGCAGCAGTCTCTTGAGGTCTTCCAGGTCTTTATTGAAGCCTCGTCCCTCCCACTTCCCTAATAGTGGTCTAACTCCCCTGTCGAAAAAGCATTACAACATTAACTGTACATATGATTACTGTTATACAATCCTTGTGCTAATGCAAATGAACACAACATCTGTAACAGAATCCTTGTACATGTAATACAACATCTGTCACAGAATCCTTGTACATGTAATACAACATAGTACTATATATGTTTTAGGATTCCCAGACCAATGACCAAAACAATAAAGGTTTGTCTGCTGAGCTTTATTACAGGTATACTATTCTACTGTAAAGTACATGATAAAAATATTACTTGGTATATATAGAAATAACAATGTGTTTATCTGCTGATACACAATCTGATATTGATGTGCACTATGATAGACCACTACTTAACAATTAAATTGTGAAAAAAGACATGTAGCCTTACGCTTAACAAAAAGCAGTTATAGGTTGATGATGATTCTGTTAATTTATCAAATCCAGAATATTTCTATCACAGCTTGTTATGTTGGTTTAACTTAACACAAAACTTACTTGTATCTCGTACATAACGTATCCACCATTGGTTTGTAAAAATCACATATTCTAAGCACACACTTGGTTGCTAAACTGTAACAAATAAAAGTAGAAATAATCAAATTAGTTAATTAAATTGCAGATGAGAAATTGTTCATTATCCCATTATGATTCACAACAGATTAAGCTGGTATTCTAAATCAGGCACACAGCATTATTACATCAATAAGTTTATCAGTTTAATACAGTGTATGTCAATTACATTTATGAAATTAGTCCTTACAAAATAATTAATGACCACAATTATTTCAAAATGAGTGACAGATTTTTCTTCTTCATCCAGAAAAAGTTATCCATCAATACTGATGTTTATGAACATTTTGAGGGAGGTATGACAATATGTGAATTCATATATACAGAGGCTTTCAGTTGTTTGTGTTTTGCTATAGGATAAAAGGGGTTAAAAACAGGATGAATAAGTTGCTATGTTGTTCATGCATGTCTTCTACTTAAATTTTGTATGTGGTACTTGTTTTTAATTCTTCAAGTATTGTGCATTACATGAAGTTGAAAGTAGAGAATCCATTTCTAATTTGCATTAACTTTCCATGTCTGATATGTGTCTAGTCAAGAGAGCAATCAAACAGAGGTTACATAAAAACTGCTATCAAAGACTTAAAATATGTATCTTTCATGTTTTTTGGGTTTTTTTTAAATGTTGGTAATAACCACAATACTTACGCCCCTATTGAAACTTCAGTGTTGACTGATAACTTGTACACTAATTCGTCCATAATGCTATGGACTAGCTTTTTATCCAATTCTTTCAGTAGTTTCCTGAAACATAGATCGAACCTCACTCAAATTTCTCTTCACAAAATACAAACTTACATTATCCTGACATCTTAGACTGTTCTATGATAATTATATGGTCTTCAACATGTATACTGCAGTATTCAGGCACATCAACTAGAGTACCTATTTCATAAACATTTAATAGAGGAGGACATTGATGAATTGGCACAATCCCGGTCGGATCGATCCCAATATATGCTGTAGAAAATTATTTACAGAAACTTAAATAAGTGCAATCATAAATTAGGGCAATGTTTAAGACATGAAAAGTGCTAAAATTAAAATTCATCAAATATGTACGTTTACAGCATTTAAATCACCCTGCCCCTATTTGACTGTTTTGGGGAAAATATTGGTAGATTGGTATGTACCTATTGACTCTGAGAACTTTGGGAAGAAGGTCCATCACTCCTGACACTGTGTCGGGATCATCTGATATCAACAGCTGGAGTAACCATGGAGACTCAATAACTAAAACAGAAAATTGTTCGTCCTTAAAATAATTCATACCATGTGTGTGAGTCTTAAGCATACATTTATAATATCAATAGTTTAACAGAGATTGATAAATGGCACTAATATCTACATTTAATGAAAGTCAACAGAGCGATTCTCCAATGAACTTACCCAGTTATACATTTTGTACTTGAGAAAAATTAACTTGGTAGTGAAACGGAAACAACACCTACCCTATTACATATAACACAATATATCCGTGACATTTTCACTATAAAAGCTTCAGTGTGTACAATGTACTTAAAAAATGTAACTGTAACCTACAATGTACTGAATATGTAGTTAAATATACAATGTACTTTATTATAGAAGTTTCATGTACAATGTACTTTATTGTAGAAGTTACATGTACAATGTACTTTACTGTAGAAATTACATGTACAATGTACTTTATTGTAGAAGTTACATGTACAATGTACTGATTATGTAGTTATATATACAATGTACTGAATATGTAGTTATATATACTTCTATTTATTGTAGAAGTTACATATACAATGTACTGAATATGTAGTTATATATACAATGTACTGAATATGTAGTTATATATACAATGTACTGAATATGTAGTTATATATACAATGTACTGAATATGTAGTTATATATACAATGTACTGAATATGTAGTTATATATACAATGTACTGAATATGTAGTTATATATACAATGTACTGAATATGTAGTTATATATACAATGTACTGAATATGTAGTTATATATACAATGTACTGAATATGTAGTTATATATACAATGTACTGAATATGTAGTTATATATACAATGTACTGAATATGTAGTTATATATACAATGTACTGAATATGTAGTTATATATACAATGTACTGAATATGTAGTTATATATACAATGTACTGAATATGTAGTTATATATACAATGTACTGAATATGTAGTTATATATACAATGTACTGAATATGTAGTTATATATACAATGTACTGAATATGTAGTTATATATACAATGTACTGAATATGTAGTTATATATACAATGTACTGAAGATGGAGTTATATATACAATGTACTGAATATGTAGTTATACATACTTCTATTTATTGTAGAAGTTACATGTACAATGTACTGATTATGTAGTTACATATACAATGTACTGATTATGTAGTTATATATACAATGTACTGAATATGTAGTTATATATACAATGTACTGAATATGTAGTTATATATACAATGTACTGAATATGTAGTTATATATACAATGTACTGAATATGTAGTTATATATACAATGTACTGAATATGTAGTTATATATACAATGTACTGAATATGTAGTTATATATACAATGTACTGAATATGTAGTTATATATACAATGTACTGAATATGTAGTTATATATACAATGTACTGAATATGTAGTTATATATACAATGTACTGAATATGTAGTTATATATACAATGTACTGAATATGTAGTTATATATACAATGTACTGAATATGTAGTTATATATACAATGTACTGAATATGTAGTTATATATACAATGTACTGAATATGTAGTTATATATACAATGTACTGAATATGTAGTTATATATACAATGTACTGAATATGTAGTTATATATACAATGTACTGAATTTGTAGTTATAAATACAATGTACTGAATATGTAGTTATATATACAATGTACTGAATATGTAGTTATATATACAATGTACTGAATATGTAGTTATAAATACAATGTACTGAATATGTAGTTATATATACAATGTACTGAATATGTAGTTATATATACTTCTATTTATTGTAGAAGTTACATGTACAATGTACTGAATATGTAGTTATATATACAATGTACTGAATTTGTAGTTATAAATACAATGTACTGAATATGTAGTTATATATACAATGTACTGAATATGTAGTTATATATACAATGTACTGAATATGTAGTTATAAATACAATGTACTGAATATGTAGTTATATATACAATGTACTGAATATGTAGTTATATATACAATGTACTGAATATGTTGTTATAAATACAATGTACTGAATATGTAATTATATATACAATGTACTGAATATGTAGTTATATATACTTCTATTTATTGTAGAAGTTACATGTACAATGTATTTTATTGTAGAAGTTACATGTACAATGTACTTTACTGTAAAAGTTACATGTACAATGTACTTTCTTGTAGAAGTTACATGTACAATGTGCTTTATATGTAGTAGTTACATGTACAATGTACTTTATTGTAGAAGTTACATGTACAATTTACTTTATATGTATTAGTTACATGTACAATGTACTTTATTGTAGAAGTTACACATACAATGTACTTTATTGTAGAAGTTACATGTACAATGTACTTTAGATGTAGTAGTTACATGTACAATGTGCTTTATATGTAGTAGTTTCATGTACAGTGTACTTGATTGTAGAAGTTACATGTACAAAGTACTTTATTGTAGAAGTTACATGTACAATGTACTTTATTGTAGAAGTTACACAATACAATGTACTTTATTGTAGAAGTTACATGTACAATGTACTTTATATGTAGTAGTTACATGTACAATGTACTTTATATGTATTAGTTACATGTACAAAGTACTTTATTGTAGAAGTTACATGTACAATGTACTTTATTGTAGAAGTTTCATGTACAATGTACTTTATTGTAGAAGTTACATATACAATATACTTTATATGTAGAGGGGGTCAGCCTCTCTTTTTGTACAATTTAGAATCCTAATCACCAAAGGAATTTCCAGCCAAATTCGGTGAAAATCCATTTAGTAGATGCTATATGAAAATTGTTGACACACATACAGATGCTACTTTACAACATAATGTCCCCTTGGTACTTAGGAGTAAGTGAGTGAAATAGAGTCCATTCTGTGGACACCAAGACATACCATTCCTACAGATGACAACATGTCCAGAAGCTATATAGGTGATGGACTCTAGTACTCCCTTGTAACACACCACGAGGCGCTGGCGCTCTTTCTGCATTCCCTGATGTGGATCAAACAAAATGACTTTGTTACACACAATGAAAAGCATGTCCATAAAATACTATGATAGGATATTCACACGCCTGTGAAGGGCTTGAAATTTTATATAAATATGAAGTCATAGATTCAATTGCAACAGGCAAAGGAGCAGGTAGTTCTTGTAGTTTATTAGAAGTTACAGTGGGCTTTTTTCAGGGCAATATTAAAGGATATTTCTATCCATAAAGTTCTAAAAATGTTGGCACATATACCTTATTATATATATATGTGTGTCTAATGACAATGGCAGAAATTGTGACATCATAAACAACAGATTGTATTGCGACAACATCAAATGCTAAAAGTGGAAAACCAGTTGACATTTTTATAAACTACTACACAAGAACTACTTGTTCCTTCATCTGTTGTGATTAAATCTATGGCTTCATGTAATTCTTTTTACTCAATTGCTCTGCATACTCAGGTGTTCAGACGAGGAGCAACAGACTAATGAAGAAACAATGACTTTGGCTCTACCTTGAAAAAGCCTAGATATAAACATGGGGATGACAGTAAGAATGTAGAAAAACACAGTTGTTTTAGATTGGTTATATGGTGCATTTATCCTGTCTTCAGCAATAATGTTTGAAAATTGCAGAAAAAATTATAGGGTACCTTTATGATTGTGAAAATGTAGGGTTTAATGAACAGGAAACAGGTATTATTGATATTTTATCTCAGTTAGGTAAGGGGTTATAACATTACTTTTGATTAAAAAACTTTTTGAAAGTTTTAGATTCATCTAATTTAACCCTTTCACCACTGTAGACCATAATGGACCCATCCAGATCAATGTATGGTAGAGTCTACTAAAGTTACCTAGGGGTGAAAGGGTTAAGTAGCTGTCAACTTGTGTCACACCTGTATTTTGGAGTATCGAGTCTGTATTCTACGTGCCAGTAGAAACAGGTTGTTGATGGCCTCCGAAAGACTCTCAGTCTCAAACTTGTTCCTGTCTTGACCCTTGAGTTCCATACCTGCACACACCTGGCTACAAACATAGACAAGATAGAAAATTATAAGCAACATACATGTAAAGGGTAATGAGGTAAGAAAGCATATTGCGGTATGCTATACACATAAAATCAGATGGAATATGTATGCAAGCATTTTGATGTCACAATTGTTTATTTTATATATATGTAATATTTATTTTGTATTGGAATGTGTCCATAACATCTGAATGGTTTGACACTTTATTATGTCTTCCAATTACAACATATTTCAATCAAATATCAAACACTTCTATCATCAGGGATAAGATACATATATCTGTATGCTACCTATACCAGTATGTGCCTTGGAAGTGAGATTGTGTCATACATTATATTTTATAACTTATTGATATATAGGTATATGCAGACCGAGCTCTTCCTATCCCAACACTTTGTGGTACCTGAGTATAGCAGCCAGAGCTGCTGCTGTCTGCCAGTCACCATCTACTATGCTAAAGTCTTGCTTCAATACTAAAATCAGGACATGTAGCAGGTTGTAGTCCCAAATCTCATGTCTTATCTTGATTCCCTCTTTTGAACCAACAGGAACAGAACTTAATATTCCTGAAAAAAATACAGAAATTTATATATTTTTTCACACAAATACTGTAAAAAAACATATCACACACTGGTAAATGGTTAGGAGATATACCATAATACTTGTTCAATAGTTTCAGGCCCAGTACCTTCTGTAGTACAAGATCCCTGATGATGTTGGTGACCTCACTTGTTGTAAATGTTTGTTGTCCAACAGATCTAGCTGCCACTCTCTGTATCTTAATAGTAGTAGTATATAATTGATATTATAATGACAATAAAATAAATTTCAAACTAAAATTAATAGTATTACACAGGTTTGTGGTTGTTGGGTACCGAACTGTTGATAAGGTATACTCTGAAGTTGCTCACACAATAGTTTGGTATCATGTAGCTTTCTGGACTGTTTTTTTTGTGAGTTCTTCTTAACAAATCTAGGTGATTGTCATGTGATTGTGAAGGTACATGTAGGTTTTTAAGCATGTGCAGAACCCTACATTTTTTTCAGATTGAAGGACATCTGCCACATATGTTCCCAATATTCTAAAGCAGTTAGGTCTTTCTACAATATTCATTTTTTGTATATGCATCTTTTGCTAATTATGTAAGACAGGATGGAGTTATGATCAGCTAAATGCCAAACATTTGACTAAAGACATAATCATTCAGGCATGTCGTTTACATAGGTAACAAACAGTAAGGTCTGAGAAGTTTCTCTTGTGTAGGGAAACTGAATGCTACTGTGACAATTCCATTGTGTCTTGGCAAGCAGAAAGTCTTCTTTGTCCTTATATAATTAATATTGTTGCTACCAAATTGATCAATGTTATGTGGAAGCATGTATAGTGTTGGAGCTTATAAATATCCTTTCCTTAAAATCCTAATAAACCAGCTAATAATCAGCCACTGACAAACTCCCTATTATTGCTCTGATTGCACTTGTAGTGATCAGCTGTGTATACAGGTAATATAGATGATGTCAATTGTGCTTGTTTACTTGTGTCTGACATTAAGGATCTCTTCTGCTGTAGATCTGTACCATGGTGACCTTCTGCATAGTTGTTGGATATCATGACATCAATGACCTAGAATAATTGGAAGAACCAATTCCAGTACTTCGGTCTGGAGCTTTTTGGTGTTATTGTAGCGGAACTTGCCAATTGCCGGCTACCAGGTACAATAATCGGTCAATCCGTCTAGAGTCGGAGGTACTGTAGCTATAGGTATGTTTGGCAAAGTGATACCTGGACCTGGGTTGTATAACTTGTAAACAATGTTGATTGCTGGGACAGACTCAGAAAAAGGAAGGAAGAATGAGCGAACTGGATTGTGTCAATTGCCGGCAACCAGGTAGCTCAATTGGTTAGTGTGCATCTAGAGTTCAAAATTTCGTGGTTCGAATCCCATGACATATAGCATTTTTTCCTCTTGCTACATCCCTTCTGCATAACCCACGGCTATTTCTATGGTTTTATTTAAAAATAGCATTTATGCTTTACTTGTATACCATTGAACATAATGTCCATATGATGTTTCATTTGACTTGAAAGGAAAACGTCGTTATAGATCTAGTGCATCATTTCAAGTCATCGGATGTTCTCTATGTTACCATTAATGTGATGGTGAAAGGTTTAATTAGTGCACCTGAACTAGTTTTATACATATGCAAGCTTTTAATCATTTCAAGAAAAAGTTCACAAGGGCAAAGCGCTAGAGTCGCTTCTAAAAAGTGTAACAAAATTAGCGTTTTCAGATGAACATCAAATATAATAAAATTTGAATGTTGACAGCAAAACCTGAACGAACATGTTTTTGTTGTATGCAAAAACAACCCACCTTTTAGATTCATTAACATAATTGGAACACGTCTATCCCTCGTATCTGCTATTTCTCCGGCTAGATTATGAACACGCTTGTCCCGATCGGGACTTGCGTACCTCGACATTTTTAATTTCAAGTTTGTTTTAGTTTTCTATGCAAACGTCCATATTTGTTTACGCCGCGAGGAGACGCTTGATCTACGTCGTTCGAGTGTTTTTATTTAGAATAATTTCCGTTTCCGGAATGTTTATCCGTCATTTACCATAATTTTCGAAATCAATATTTTGAATTACTCAAGTAAAGGGAGTACCTTCAAGATAATTTTGAAGAGCAGAATTTATTTTTAAAATCACATATTTTATCTGTTGGTTTTAAAAAGTCATAAAACCTAGAAGATCTTTTCCGGACAATAGTAACTTGTCCCGCACCAAACTTAGTTAAAAAAAAAAAAAAAAATGGCGGGAGCGTTGAAGGAGGAGGCTAGACTGGACACATAAAACTAGCGTGACTGTCACATACTTACTATTCGATTCGCAGTAAAATGAGGTTTAGAGGGAAAATCGTTGACATTGGCTGTATCCAACATTTTACAAGTAAAATTATTGAACTTGGTGTTTTGAAGGTGCATGCTGTATGCACAGGTGACAGGGTATTGATTTGTTTACAACACAAGAGGCCAGCTCACTGGTCGGCTTTTTTTTTTATCGGATATGATTGTGCGGACTGCGATTGCACTTGTCAAAATTGTAAAGGGAAAGAGTAGAATTGTGCTTCCACAGGGATTCGAACCCACGATCACAGACTTCTTCTTTCACATAAGGAACTAATATAATCTCCTAGTATGGAGCGATGCCTGTTCCCAGTCGGTATACTACTCAGCTAAAGGGAAATTCCCTTCTTTGCACGAAGCTGGAAGGCGACCGTAATCTTATGTACAATTAAAATCTGCCCCAAAAGTATCTTGCAGTGTTAAAACCTCTAGCATTGCAGGAGTATCCCGATACTGTGGTTCAAGCTGTATACTTATGTTGCTTAATTAACATTAATGCCTAGTTTGTCACTGTCAGCAAACTACATTTCAAAATTTAATGTATGTCGTCACTTACGTATGTTTGGACATGTACATAACTTGATGTGTAGGATGTACACTATAACTAGTGGAACGTGACTCACAGACACAGGGTCAGTTGCTGGTGACCACGTCTAGAGTTTGGAGGTTCCCGGGTATGAATACTGATCTCACCTTGCATTTTCTCTTTTCCTGTAACATTGGTGCTGTATGTTGTAAATAGTGTCATCTTCAGAGACAAAGTAAAAGGAGGGAGGAATCAACAATGTACTCCAACAATGTTACGAGATACTTATGTAGCTAGGTGCCACCTAACTTCCTGAGGCTGATTTTCTAAAAGCTGACGATCAAAATTTCAAAACTTGGATTTTGAAAAAATAATATAGCGTCTATACTTACATTTCTGTGCTCAGCCGAGTCCCAATAAATATTCCTTTCCTTAAATCCATTCTTAACTCAGGAAAATTCTATGTCAAAAATAAAAATAAATCATCTTTCATAGTGAAGCAGACAACATATCTGAATACTCGGTTTTTCATGCCAATTGTTTTTTTCGTCAGATTTCAGGCTGAACTTGCATCAAAGAACAGTGCTTCAGGAATTAAATGTTGTAGTCACAGCGCTGGACACAGCCGGTCGCCTGGTCACCAAAGGCGACCAAAACCTTGATTGGGCGACTAGAAATTGTCAAAAGATGGATGTTACTGGCCCCAAAATAAATCTTGGGGCGAGTACATTATTATTCTCAAAATCGTAGTTTACTCCCATAAATTAACCACCCCAACTTCGGAATACCCATTTTCGGAAATCCTGTACTCTCAAGAGCCTGGGTCACGCCGTTAAAACGTGCAAGTGCATCAGAATTGACACAGACGGTACCGGTCAATATGTTTAAAAATGCTTGGTAATAATTGAATGACAGCTACTCAGTTAGTTGGGGATGTCATTATCGTGGTATTATGTACCTTTCACACGAATGCTGACAAAGTAACATTTCTTTAAAGTATGAAAATAACATTATGTTTTTAGGGTTATGTGTCGGGAGGGTTTAATTGAAGAATAAAAAAACATCTATTTATATTGTATTATTGGCATTTTTTATTTCTCAACACTGAAAATAATCTTAGTGAAATATTTGGGCTACCAATATTCATTTTGGGCCTGTGGAATAATTTTTGTACTCGCCCAAAAAATATTATGATGAAAAATCATCAATCGGTCTCATGTTTTAGGAGGAGGATGAATGTCCATAGTAACTGGACTGGATGGCTAACTCTATATAGCTAGCGAGTAGGTAGCTCAATCGGTAGAATGTCTGTCTAGAATTTGAAGGGTACTGGGTTTAAATCAAAGTTTTGCCATACAATTTTCCTCTCCTATTACATAGCTAACTCTCAGGTCCTTGTAGCTACAGGTACATGAGGTGTTTATTGTCAGGACACAGGTCCTTGTTTAACAGGAAGGGAAAATACAAAAAAACGAAACTAGGGTTCCATCCTTCAACTATATCTTCGACCCTGAAAATACCTGAGATCCCTACCTGTGCACCTTCTGTTGGTATATATATAGCTTGGTGCCAAATGTAACAAGAAAGGGAAATGCAAGGTTTTTAACTAAGGACATTCTTGCACTAATATACAGTGTATCTGGAAATTGCTCCATTGCTGGAGTTAAGGAAAATTTTAAACTATTTTAAGATATTTTTCTTAACATTAACAATGCTAATTCCAATTTAAAAATTGAAGGAATTTCCTTATAGTAAGGAAGGCTTGTGATAGAATTGTAAAATAATTAAGGGTCGACGTCAGAGATCAAGGTCTAAGTGCATTATTAAAATGATTTCCAGGAGAAAGTATTTTGCCACTTATAGCTTGTATATGTGAGGTGTACATGTACAATACTTGTATAGCTACATGTACGTATATGTTACATTTCTAATGTTATAGAGAACTTGCATATAAGCATCACTGTATTTTTCAGGAGTAATAGGAACATTGTCAAAGCTGATAAAAACGTGTGTGTTGCGAATAACATCTGGAAACTGGTACTTCATCTTGTCTGAGAGGGCTGTGAATGGAGGAATACAGATTTGGAGTGAACTTCCTCAGGTAATGAGTGATGACAGTGGTGAAAATAAACTCTTTTACAGGGACTGGTGTTACTTTTATATCTCACCTGACTGTCACGAAGTATGTGTACTTATAACGGTAAACCATGAAAAATTTAAGTTTAGTAAAATTAATTTTTCACTAAAAGAAATGATGTTTGTTGTTAAAGCTTTGTATTGAAATCTGTTTCAGTTCGTGGATAGAATAAAAACAATTAAATACAGTTGAACTGTATACAAAACATTCATCCTGTCCAACCTTTGCCTTTCACCTCTACAATCCATACTCCCCCAGTGTGATTTTGCCCTTTACATGTTATTTATTTACTACATATATGTATAATGTGTTTGATACTATTATTTGATGTCATGATAAATTTGCCCTCATTTCAGAATGTAAAAAAGACTAAACTTCTGTTAAAATGTTTGAGGAACACTAATCACTGTTAAGTTGTTTATTTGCATCAGTAAATTGTCACAACCATTTCACCAGACTTTGTGTGATAGGTTAAGGCTAATCCAAAGAATAAAATGATGTAAACAATGAAGTAGCTATGGTCTAAAATACAGAATAAATACTTCTTTTGTAGTAGTAGTAAGTAGTGGTAGTAGTAGTAGTAGTAGTAGTAGTAGTAGTACATGTAGTATGGAGAAGAGTAACTAGCCTGGATTCAAATTGGATCCACTTCCAAGAAGACATTATCAGCGTAGTGGGGTCATATTAAAAGAATACATATATTTATTTCAAGGTTCTTGTAATATTCTGCTGTTTATATTAATGTCTATATGGTGGATTTTTAGTGTCCGAGTGATTGTTCTACCATCCAAGATAATTATAACCATTGGGTTCATTTTCCAGTTGGGAGCATGGATATAAGGACAAAGTTGAGATACTGTCACCTCCTCACTGTGTATACGTAGGGCTCTTTTGGGGTTACAGCTGTAGGTCACTGAACAGATATGTCACAATCAGTACACATGTATAAAAGACACCTTTGTAAAGATCATTATAGGTACAGTCATTGCAGAGGATGCTTACTTCTGAAGCAACGAATTAGTATAATTAAAATCAAAGTTATTCGACTTGGCTAGTTTTGAGGTAAGGTAACTCTTCTGATTTTTGTTATCGTCATGGATTTCAAAGAAGTTGGTTTCATTTCAGGGACACTTTTTTGATGAATATGCAATGGAAGGTGTTTCCGAAGAAGAGAATGAAATTTTCTTGGAGCTTGCACCAGAGAACTTAATGAAGGCTCTAAAGACAGCTCAGAGTGCCAAGTGGTTAAAGATCAAGCTCACCAAGAAGCACACTCCATGTCTTACGGTGGAGGTAGATCTTGTAAGTAGGCCTGTGACAGTGTATAACAAGAATTTATATATATCACTATAAGAAAAGTGTTCTAGTGATAACATATAGGCTGCTATTCACAGATCATATTTAGTGTCAACTTTTAAAAGGAATAGTGATTTAAAGAGATGTCAAACCGATAAAAACATATTTTGTCTCATCTTCTTTTATTGACTAGGCTTAGAATGCACATAGATTGATTCATTATTGATGTAATCAGGACAATTTGCCAAATTGAACAGGCTGAGGGGAGGATGGATGGCATTGTGATATATATATGATAAACTGTTTGACATGATAAGGTTTATTGTGTGATATAATCCTTATTGTTTTGAAACGCATGGTGGATTTTGATGTTATCAACCCAAATATTTCTAAAATCCAATGCCCCGAATTCGGGGACAACAATACAATCTCCTTTCCGTCCTGAAGATGACATAATAGTAAAACTTCTAAAAAAAATGGCTAAATAATATTGAAATAAGGCACTAGAATGCAACATTTTTGAGAATAAAGTGTTTCAACTAGGCTTATCCGACTCAAATATAATTATGTTCTGGAAATATGGTGACAATTTTGTGAATACAGATTTGTTGATTTCCCCAGCCTACACTGAGTGCCCACTCACGGACGGTAGTGCATGACATTCCGGTCACTGTTATACCTCGCCGACTCTGGACAGACTTTGAGGAGCCTGAGCTGCCACACTTTGATGTAAGGCTGTAACTATGTATCCCGTGTCACATAACACTCCAATGTCCTCACATTCAATACACTTAAACCTTTCTTTCTGTAAAATCACTTCTGCACCCTTCCCAATGGAAAAAGATGATATTTTCCCCAAAATCTCTTTTAAACTTCTTCATTGAAACAAAAAGTTTTTTAATTTAATATTCAATATTCGTAGTGTGTAACATCTAACAACTAAAATGATCTTTGATAAAAAAAAGGTGGTCTCAGTCTTTTGGATGTCAGATATTTTGTAAAGAAATAATCTCAAGAAGACCAGAAAATTGGCTCTTTGAAAATAAGTAAATAGTCAACCAGTTGAAAACCATTGTTGCATGTTGGTTTTTATTGACACAGCTAGCCGATGTCACTGATTTGCTCAAAGTCCCAATTTGCCAAGAAAAAGCCCTTACTTAGAAGCTATCTATATGTTACAGGTCAGTGTGGTGATGCCACAGCTCAAACTGCTGAAAAATGTAGTGGAGAAAATGAAGAACCTCAGCAACTATGTGGTAAGTCATTAGATCGCCAACGCTTTGTCTGGTTATGAGTGGGTGTTACTTTAGTGTGATTTCCAGTGTTTCCTTCACAAATAATGCTTTGTCTGTCATTTAGATTTTTGTAACTCTATATTTATGCAGGTACTGTCAGTTTAACCATTGAACTGTATTACATTAACTAATTTTTATTTCCCCAGGTGCTGTCAGCCAATCAAATGGGAGAGATGAAGTTGATGGTAGAGACAGATATGGTATCAATAAGTACCCACTTCAAGGACCTCATCAACCCCACCAGTATGTTAACACAAGACAATTTTTTGTTTTCTTTGCAAATAAGAAAAAATATATATACAAAGTACAAAGTGGTGTGTGCCACTCTGTCTGGCCACGATACACATGAATAAATGTGAGTATCAAGACCAAAGGGTGTGTCACATTACTTTTGATTCATTTTCTAGCTATTGAGACCACAACAGGGGATCATACTTAGGTCATAGAAGCAAATTAAATTGCTATTACCGGATGGCTGTTCCATTGTTGTTTAATAGTCATAATATAAGGAACAACAACACAAATAACTTTCCTTTTTGGGAAACATAAGACTACTGCTTACCCATTCCTTGGTGTGTGTGATGTCTATATGATACTCATGTGAATTGTGGAAATAAAACTTACCTCCCCTGGATCAGGATTAATACACCACAAGATCAACAGTTCATCATTATTTTACCTGGAAAGAAACACTAACTTGAGATAAGTTTTATTTCAAAATTACAAAGTAAGACATATTGTTTGAATTTAGGTGCATAGGACTGAACATAACTGGGGTAGGTAGTTTCTTTTAAGATATGACCTTGAGCATAGGTCATATATTTTCATACCTGACCTGGAACATCAAGGATTTTATTATCACATCTCTGAATTGGGTAAACATTTATGTTGAATAGCCCTGAGGTATGTACCTATAATGCATTCATAAGATTAAGGTCACATCAAGGGATCATAGGTCAAATCACTCGAGACTTTGCACAGCTTCTGAAATTAATGGATGGTGAATTCTAAAGCTGACTTTGTTTTTATATACCAATTCAGACAAAGAATTGGGTAAATATTTGACTGAGAAATATTTTTGATTTCTGTATATCTGTCCTACCCAGGCACAGACCCGATGATGAATCCATCACAGGAGGACCGCGATCCCCAGATGTTCTACAAGACAAGGATTGACATTCGCAAGTTATCACAGTTTCTTGCCAGTCAACAATTCAACCCCACTCGAGTCATTTGTAGTAAGTTATTGCTATATCTGATTTCTTTTACTGTGCAATTGCTTGTATATTTTGCATAAATATGTTCAATTAAGCAAGTGCTTATTGAAATGAGAATATACCGTACAAACTACTTAGCTAGTGAGCAGGCCAAGTCTTGTTAATATGGAAAATCGTTAAGTAGACAGCATACACTATGTAAGTTTCCTTTGAATACATTGTGTGCTCATTGTTTTCAGATAACACTATTAAGCCTGTGTGGAAGTACATGCAGTGAAATAGTAGTGGTAATGGTATTGATGTTTACAAATCAGTCTTCATTGTTATGACATCACACAGAGACCAATGACAATGGCATATATTAACATCATAGTGATAATACCCGTGTCAAAATGACTAAAACTTGCAAATTCATATTTGTTGCTCAATATCCTTGTAATTAAAGTGAAACGAGAGGTTGATGTGATCAATCAGAGGAGTATTCCACAATGGTTATTGTCATGATGAGTTCTTCCTGTGTGACACCCAAAGATGACCTCCTTATCCCAAATACTTTGATGTCAACTTTTGTTTTGTTTTCAGATGTTGTCAACAACAGGACAGTACACTTCCTACTCCTACAGGATGACGTGTCCCTACAGTACTTTATGCCTGTCATAGCCTCCTGACACTTCTATCTGACAATTAGCTGAGTAAACTTCTCTATGAAATACTGTTCATTCAAGCAAAGCTGCTAATATGGCACTGGATCTGCATAGGTGTCAACCTCTGAAACCTCCAGTGAGGGAGGTCTCCCTTATTCCACATTTCCAATGAGGGGGAAATTGCATGAAATACGACTGAAACTGCTTTGCTATCAAAATAACTCCAAAAAGCATTCAAACACCTGTTATGATCATTACACATATCCTGTAGTAATTAGATCATTCAACCACAGGATGTAGATTTTTCGTTTGTGTTAGTTTGGACTTGAATGAGGGAGTTTCCAGGGAGCTTTGTAAAGTTTGGTCAAAATGAGGGAGTCTCCCTCCTAATGAGGGAAGTTTGACAGCTACAGATCTGTCTCTTATCCATTTTTTTTTTTTTTTGTAATTTTGTATTTTTTTCCAAATTTATAACAATGCAAATATATCATACATAAACATTATTCCTCTCACACATTACAATTCATTCATTAAATATTCATTTATAATAAAACTACATATTTCCAGGTATAATTAAAAATTAATTATGTTTATGTATAATTAAATTCCATCTAAATTGTGTCCGTTATATAAAAGCATTGTTTAGAAGTGATAGAAAAGAGGTTAGAGCAGGTCCTAGAGGTATAGAAGGGAAAGTAAGACTAAGAGAGAGAGAGAAAAAAAAGAAGAAAGAAAAGAAAAAGAAAAAAAAACAACGAGGTGGGGGGGGGGGGGATATTGAGAAATAAAGAAGCTATATAGATGTGTTGGAAGGTTCAAGGAGTTTTACATATAAGTATTCAGAAGTACATGTTTATATAAGAAAACTCGATAGTTATATGTTCATATTTTGGCAAAGACAGGGTTTAAGCAATATTAATTAGACTTTCCCATTTTTTCCATTCAGTATTGAATTTCAATAAAAATAATTCACTTTTATTAACAGCAATATATCTCTGAGTAAAATATGTGTCCTTGATAACGTTCTTAAGTGCAGCTACTGACAATGACATTTGTAAACATCTCGATTTATAAATATATTGTTTTATAAGTAAAATTATGGTATTATCTACCCTACTACTGATACTATTTTGATTAAATAAACCGAAAATGAAGGTTTCCTTGTTAAAACCAAATGGGATTAACAATGCATCAAGAAGGAATTCAAAATTTTGTAAAAAGTCTTGTACTTTCTCACATTCCCATAGTGTGTGAATTATTGTCTCTATTTCAGTCTTACATTGAAAACAAAGAGCACTATCGGTAAGAGCTGCTTTAACTAGATAAGAGTTTGTTGTTAAAATGTGTTGATTTATTCTGTATTGAAGCCATTGTAATTTTGAATTTCTAGTTACTGTAAATGGAAGCATATATATCAATTTCCATGTGTCATCATCAAATTCAAACAATTCATTCCATTTGTTTTTCCCAGTGGATATGGTACTATTTTGGCACAACAACTTATAAAAATCTTGAGTTCCTTTTTTTTGCCTCATAAATATTTCTAAATTTAAGGGTATGTATGGATAACTAATCAAAGTATTTAAAGTATCATCATTGGACATGTAGTTTTTTATAGTATTAATAATACCTTGATATGTGAGAAAGTTAGTTTTTACATCAAATTTTTGTGAAAATTCTATAAAACTATAGAAAATACCAGAGTTATTATCTTTTAATAAGTCATTTATAATTAAAACACCCTTTTCAAACCATTGCTTATAAAATAAACACTTGGCTCCTACTGTAAAATATTTGTTATACCAAATAGGCATTTTCAATCTACTTTTCATCTCTCTTATACAATCTTCTTTATCAGCTATTTTTCTCCATGATTGGAACACATCTTTCCAAAAAAGGTTTTTACAATTGCCTTGAATAATCGATAAGTATTCTGAACCACAATTAAATAAAATGTCCTTATTAACATATTTTTTAAATAACACTTGCCATTTACCCCCTGATGTAAGCAACCTACGTATCCAAGTAAGTTTCAAGGCTTCAATAAAAGACTTGATGTGTATCATTTTAAGACCCCCTTCCTGATAGCTTTTGATGATTATTTCCCGTTTTGTTTTATCCACTTTACTCTTCCATAAGAAATTAAAAAATTCTGAATTTAATTTTTTAATAAAATTTTCATCTGGATTTGGTAAGGAGATAAATAGATGATTAAATTGAGATATTAATAAAGATTTAATTATTTGTATTCTTCCTATTGGTGTTAATATTCGTCTACTCCAATTCTTAATTATTGACTTAAGTTTCACTAGTCTTTTATCATAGTTTAATTTAGGGATTTGATGTAAATCTACATGAAATTCTATACCTAATACCATAAATTTTTGACTTCCCCATTGCAGGTTCCATTCAGGATAATATATCTCATCACTGTACTTTTTACTGCCTATCCATATAACTTGTGTTTTACTTTTATTTATTTTAAGACCAGAAATTTTTGCAAATAAATTAAGCTCTTTTATTGATTCTTTTAATGATTGTTTCGTTCCATCTAAAATGAGAGAGGTATCATCTGCATATTGTGAGAGAAGTAGTGGAGAGTTGTCTATATTTATACCCCTAATATAATTATTATTTCTAAGTCTTATTGCAAGTATTTCTGAACACAAAATAAAAATGTATGGAGCTATCGGATCACCTTGACGGCAACCCCTCTTAATTTCAAAAAAAGATGAGAGATTACCACCTTGATTAATTGCAGACATAGAATTTTTATGTAGTGTTTTTATCCAACTTCTAATATCCTCACCAAAATTAAAATATTTAAATACATTTTCAATAAACTCCCAACTAACAGAATCAAATGCCTTTTCAAAATCAACAATCAAAAGCATCCCATCTATATCATTGTCCTCTGTATACTGCATTATATCGTAAATTAATCGTGTATTTTCCCCTAAAAATCTGCCTGCAATAAATCCTGTCTGGTCAGTGTTAATTAATTTATCTAAAATAGTTTTTAATCTAGAAGCTATTGCGCCAGATGCAATTTTGTAAACAATATTCAAAAGACAAATAGGTCTCCAATTTTTAAGAAATTGCCTTGGTTTATCACCTTTTGGTATACATGTAATAATTCCTTGTTTTTGAGTTATAGATAAGTTTCCATTTATATATGCATAATTAATAGATCTTAAAACAAATTTACCTAGTTGTTTCCAAAAACACTTAAAAAATTCTACTGTAAATCCATCTGACCCGGGGCTTTTATTATTTTTCATGTGTTTTAAAGTATGTGACGCTTCAGTAAAAGTTATATTACCTTCTAAAGATAAAGATTCTACATTGTTTAATTTTGGAACATTACAATTGGATAGAAATTTATCTAAATCCACTTCTTCGATATTACTATTACTTGCATACAGTTGTTCATAAAATAATTTAACTTCATTTAAAATATCTTCTTGTTTTCTTATAACATCACCATTTTCTTTTTCTATCATCGGGATAATTTTTGAGGTAAAATGTCTATTTTCAAGATTAAAAAAATAGTTTGTTGGCTTCTCTCCCTCTTCCACCCATTTTGCCTTGGACCTTATAATGCTACCCCTCATTTTAATTTGTCTGATTTTTTCCAATTCCTTCTTTTTTTCACCTACTTGATCCAGATTGACATTATCCATATTTTCTAAACTGTTAATAGATTCTATAAGAGTATTTTCCTGTATGTTCTGCATTTTTTTTTATATGATGCATATGAAATAGTTTTACCGCGTATTTCAAATAGTAAGGTCTCTAAGAAAAGTTGGTCGTTGATTTGGAACTGGATATCCTCATCTGATATATTATTAATAAAATGTGGGTTATATATTAATAGGGCATACTGCTTTTTAATTTCAAAAAATAATTTATTTATAGTTTTGAGATAATCCTCATCATGTAATAAAGAATTATTGAATTTCCAAAGTCCTCTTCCTCTCTTAAATTCATTAAATTTTATTGTAATAGTAGGTATAGAATGATCAGATCTGTAACCAGTTTCAATACTAGAGTTCTGTATATTACTTAACATATTTTCTGATACCAGAAAAAAATCTAAACGTGCCTGTTTAATAGGATTATTTCTCCTCCATGTATATCTCTTATAATCTGGATGTTGCTCTCTAAAAATATCTACTAGACTGAATTCATCTATAAGTTCAATTACTTTATCTCTAGCTTTAGGATTATTTATTTGTTTATAACTCTTATCATAATCAAGGTCAGGGTTCAGCACTAAATTAAAATCTCCACATATAATACAAAATTCATTACTATATTCATTTATCACATCTATTATTTGCTGATAAAAACTAGGTGTATCTAAGTTTGGACCATATACTGTTATTAAAGTTACTTTTTTATCATTTATCAACATATCTAAGGCAATATAATTACCCTCTTTATCCTTTTTTTCTTTCAGAACTTTACCTTCAAAATTATTATTAATTAAAATCGCTACCCCCCTAGAGTTAGATTTATAAGAACTAAAATGACAGCTATATCCCCATTCTGACCTAATAATATTTTCAATATCTACAGTAAAATGAGTGTCTTGTAAACAGTAAATATTGCCCTTCTGGCGCCTTAAGTATGAGAAAACATCTTTTCGCTTACCTTTGTCCTTCAAACCCTGACAATTTGCCGATAATATGCTAATAGATTCTATAATTAATATAATATAGACTTGAAAAGTAAAACCAACCCCTTGAACTTTTCATCCAGTTTGTTATCAATAACACATTTTCCCTTTATATCCTGCATACAAGAGAGTGAACTTTATAGTGATATATCCAGCAGGATATCAAAATTTGCTTAAATAATTCATCATACAGGAAGATTAAGGAAACTTAAATGGGTTTGATTATGTTGATCTATTATGTTTGTGTGACAATATAGCCTAGCGTTATTCTAGGGTTTACTATCTATCATATAGGGTTCTACCCATATGTGTACATAACTTGTCATCCTTGCCATTGCCCCGTTATCTTATAGTCTTATCTTCATAATCACTACAGCGACTTTATTTTACAAGGGTTATTCATATTTAATTATGAATGTGCCTCAAACAGAGTTACCTCTCAGGTTGCTGTATTCAAGGTGACGTAATAATTTCAGAAAGTGTTTTATTGTTCTAGGAATATGGATATTCATGAAACTTTATACAAGAGTTACGTATGGCATTGCTTCAAATGAGATCAAGTGTTAAGATGCTGAACAGTCATTTTCTAATTTTAGCAATCTAATGATCACTCAAGGGACTTTATTTACTAATAGGTATCTATGAAAATTCATACGAATGTTAGATATAGCACTATCCTGAATCAGTTACTGTGTATAAGAGAATTCATATTTATGCTATCTTGTTTAGACCAAAAATGCAGCATTACTTTTAAATTGGTGATAAATTATTTGCAGATTAATAAATGTCAGACTGTATTTGTTTTGAACTTCTGCTTTATATACCTTCAGTGATTACTTTGTATATGAAAAATTAAATATGCTAAAGTCCGTCTAGGATGAGTCTTATGGTGTTCCTTCCTAAAACAAACAATACAGTCCAGGACATTACAAAAAGGAGTGTCAAAAAGACAACAGGTATGTTAACATTTCTGTAGTGGGCTGTGAGGGCAAAAGAATTGTTGGGGTAACAAAATTTGTCCTACAGGCACTCCTTTTTGAAACGGCCAGGACTGCATTGTCTGTTAAGTAAACCATTTGACTCTTTATAGACCGTTAATGTTTTTTTGGGGGGGGGGTTTCTCAATGTTTTTTTTTTTATATATATATATATATATATACATTTAATAACCCAGGATTCGTGGGTCGTCTGGGGATGGGCTGCCCCAGCTACGACGCACAATACATGAAACACTCTATTTTCTTTACCTCACTTTTTTACATTCCCGTATAAACCCTCCTCACACAGAGGTAACAAAAACAAACAAAAAATTAATACGGAACTTTTGTCGGGTTTCCGGGTTCCTTAGCTACATGTATGTGTTTACTGTTAATGTTAATATAGAGGGGGGCTGCAGTGGCAGAGTGGTTAAGGTGTGTCGTTCTGCTACCACTAGGCTCTCCACCACTGGGCGCTGTTGAGGCCTACGTGGGGCAGTTGCCAGGTACTGGTTGCAATTGGAAGTTTTTTCTCAAGGTACTCAAGCTTTCCTCCACCAGCAAAACCTGGCACGTCCTTAAATGATCATAGCTGTTAATAGGATGTATAACACAAACAAATTTAATATTGTTCAGATTTTGGAATAGTTAGTAAACTGAACAACAGTGTCATTCTATTTTCCGTTGAGTTTGACTTAAGCAGGTTTTATTGTAGCTATTAATTCAATAATAATAAGCTCATGGTTCACTCGGGCCATTAAAAAGGCTGGAATTGAGGTCAATGTTAAAAGGTACTGGAACATAATTGTATCCAGGAAAAGAGCTGGAATTTGTTCAGTATTCCTTGAAAAATTCTGGAATAGATATATTGGAGACAATTTATGTGTATTTATTTTCCTTTAAGACTGTTTTAAAGTTTTGTTAATAAAGGACTAGCACTGTCATCTAGTCATTTGTTGATATCAATTCATCATTAATTTAAAAACTGTTGTGGTTTGTTTCAATTCTGTGCAATATATCGGTATGCATGAATGACATAAAAGCAGCAAATCTCGACTCTTTTTCTCGAAAAACATGGACCTGAAAAATTGCTAGAAAGTGTTTGAATGGTGCAGGGTTTTTTTCCTGAAAAGTCGATAAACCAGGAACATCAGCATGGTGGATTATAGTAAACTTGATTATTTCTGGCAATACCATTGGTGTACATGTGACCAGTTCTAAGAAACTCATGCAAACTGGTTTTCTTGTAAATTTTGATTTGTAAATAGCCATTAGGGGTATCCCCTAGACATTGCTGTTGATAAAATGTTGATAAAATGTTGATAAATAAATATTTGAAGTTTAATTTTATTATTTGGTTATCTATTACCTGAAATAGTGTTTTTTACCATCACAAGTCCGTATTTGTAAAATAGTTGTCAGATTGTTTTACAGACGTGTTCATTTGTATTCTGAGCTGATGTACTGTATTTGTAACCAGAGTCAGTGTTTGTGTATCACTTACAGGTGATGCATTAAAGGTAATCTTACATTGAACATTGATTGCAGAGTTTCGTATAGAATGCATACTTATGGAAAATCTACTGTGTCAAACATTGTTATTTTTGCAGGTACATGTACTTTTATTCTGATAATTTGGCAGATCTGCATTTAGATTGAAGAAAATTTGAATTGCTAAATAGGTTGACATGGGTCAAAATAAATGTTAAAAAAAATCATTTTTGGCCTTACTGATGTTTTCTGTTCCTCCGAACACTAACGTTAGGGCCAGTAAAACATCAATTATAAACATTGTACCTTCATTTTCACTGGTTAGACCTACACGGACGGTAACAGTAAACAATACCATGTTTACTGCCGGATACTCTAGTGTATATTGATATTTTGATGGGAGCACTTGCCAATGAAAAGATCAGTCAACACTGCATCAGATCAGAAGTAATAAAATGAAATTAGATGTAATTTGATATTCAATGATAGGAACTGTAAGATTACTCCTTTAGTGTAGGTGGAAGGAGTTTAACCTAATGGAATTCACTGTTTCAGCCCAATGTGTAATGAAGATACATACTACTCGAATATTTTCACACTGTGATGTAAAATAATCACCAAGAAATACAAAGAATGGAAGCACCTGTTATAAGTGGTTTGTCGACGGTTTCCTTAGGTGGGTGGGGAGGAATGAGCAATGGGCTAAAGGTGTCTAGGCTAGCCTGTTAAATATATTGTTTGTCGTGAGGCAATATCAGTTGCTGTGTTTTGGCGTTCATTCAACTAGGAAAGGGACTGTTAAACCGGTAAAAAGGAGTAGGATTTTCAATATTTTCTTTTAAATTTCGCTATTGGGCCCCACTGTCTTGGAGAAAAGGGACACCCTCTTTCATTATACGACATAATGTCCACTTGGTCAAACATTTTTCAGACCCAAGTTTTAAGTTCACTGAATCGTTCTAAACTAGTAATATTTTAAAGGAAAAGTTGACAAATAGGCACTGCTACATCAAATGTGAGTCATGATAATTTATTTGAAGCACACTTGATAGTCCTTGTTAGCATTATCACTACTCTAGGCCGCATTGATCAGTAGAGGTTCTTTAAAGATTCAACTCATTTAACTCCGGTCACCTTGGAATGTTTGTCAAGGTAATTAATTTGGAAAATCGATAGCCGTCACTAAAGCAAGGATCATGACAAATATTATGAAGCCAGGTTAAGTGAACAAAGTTATGAAAAATTTGGAATTTATATAAAATGTAGATAACCCCACATAAGACGAAAACCAGATAAGACTGTTTAAACTGATTTTACTTTTTACTTGAATCATGACCAAAAAGGACGGCTAATTATATTTTCTCAACTATATGAACGCGGTGATTTCAATAAGTTTTCCTTTCTTATAGGTATCATCCCGGCTTACACCTACAGTGTTTGCATGTTGCAGTTGTTCGATATTAACGACTTTCTCAGGCTTTCATTATCACGATTTTGTGTTAGATGGCAAATGCTGATAGACAAACCAAGCTTACCTTAAAATCTACGAGAAATGTAACAATTATTATGGAACAATTTTCATCAACAGTTAGTCACTTTATACGTCTGGTCTGTATTCATATTGCTCTTCAGTGTTCCTTTTGGACGTTGTCACTTTTCTGTTTCTGTTTTTGAGAATGTTATATTACTCTGATTTGACCTCAGTTTACGTAGTGGATATCGTTCATAAAGCAACAGACGCTTAATATCAACCAATTTAATATAAATAAGTCACGAAAAATTGGTCATCGTCAATGAAAAAAATACGCCTTATTTCAATAGTGAAGCATTCCAAATGTATTATAGAGAGAGAAAAACAAGAAATGCTTTCCTGTCTTAGCGATGGTATTTATATCCCCTATGAACGGTAACTATTATAGAAGTTCCTGCTTACATATATTTCACTTTGTTTAACACCGTTTTGCTATATTTTTCATAAACATCACAAAGTGTTTTAATTTAAAAACCGATTTAAATTCATACCTGCCTACAAGCATGTCACGTTATTTGTATAATTTAGTCATGAGCACCTCGTCAGGGCACGATGTGTATTTGTTGTGTATTACTTGTAATATTCGTTTTGCCTATCATGCGTTTAAAACCATTAAAAGAAATAAATTGCAGCGTTAATTTGTTCAATTTTAACCAAGTAATGATATAAATGGGAAATTAAATCTTATTATTAAGAAAATATATACATCGAACAATGTTTAGTTTAAACATGTACATCCAAATTGTTTATATAATATGAGTATTAACAACGACGAAACGAATTTAAAGCCAATTTCATACAAATAATGTAGTTATTTACGTTTGTCTAATTACAATTGAAACCATTAACTGGTGAGTGGGGAATAGGCTTTAGAATATATGTTTTTGTTTTCACCATTTCATGTGCATTTCGTAAGGATGCGTGTACCATCATGAACTGTAATGAGTTCATTGATCATCACTAATTCCTAGATATAGATATATAAGAATAGATGTATATAAATGTAAAAACGTGTCTGCATCAGTTATACTGCCTCAGAACGAAGCAAGCAGAACCCTTGGTAAGTAACTTTTTTCAGTATCTATCACTGGTTCCTCACTTCACTTTAAAATAAGTTGCAATATTGGAGTATAACGAATATCATCAACCAGTTCCTGATTACCCATTTGTCTATATATACAAGTTTTCACAAAATACAACATTAACATTTGTGCCTTTCAGGTGAATAAATCAACAAGAACCTTTCACAAACATGGCAGGAAAAAGAGTAACATCTAGTGGTACGTATGGGACAGATTCCTTTTATCTGCTGAAAATACATCCATTTTAATTCGTAGATAAATCCTTGTGATACTTAAAGCCGAATATTATTCTTATTCATCTTCTTTTAGCTATTATCCTAGTTGTATTAACAGAGGAATGACAGGAAAACATCAATTTATTGCGGGAATTATCGCATATTCTTATAAATTTTAAGCAAGTTTCTTATACTTACATATATGCATGAACTACATTCATATTAAATATTGTTCAACTAACATGCAAGTATTACTTAACTGTATCAATTACTCAATTGCATAGGCGTGATCTGCGTTCATCGTCCCCGAGGTTTGCCGTAACCTAATGGCGATAATTATCTGTTTTGAGTAGCGGCACGGGTCACATATACACATTCTACTCTGTATAATGTGAGATTAACCAGTATTTCTCTGATATTTAATATTCATTTTTAAGGGATGTATGCTCCCACCCTTCTGTTTCGACAGTAGTTGGACCAATTTCGAACTTGGCCACAGGGTTAAATACCTTAAGGGCTCGGCCAAGTTCGATGACCACTTTCAGCGGACCCCATTTGGCGGAGTTATGGCCCCTTGAATAATGAAAAACGTCATTATCTGCCGCGCTTCGTTTCCGTGCAATAACTACAACACATGTTGAACGATTTTCTTCAAACTTGGTCACAGGGTTGAATGCCTTAAGGGCTCGGCCAAGTTCGATGACCACTTTCAGCGGATCCCATTTGGCGGAGTTATGGCCCCTTGAATAACAAAAAACGTCATTATCTGCTGGGTTTTGTTTCTGTGCAATAACTATAATAAATTTTAACCGAATTTCTTCAAACTTGGTTCGATTTTGATGAAAATTGGTATATAGGGATATTAGGGAACTGCAAATTCAACCGCATCAGTTTCGTTGCCATAGCTACCACACGGAGGCTTCTGATTGGTCGAAATTAAGATATTGTTCGATTTTGATGAAACTTATAGGGATATTAGGGACTGTTAATTTTTGTCATAGCAACCACACAAAGGCTTCTGATTGGTAGAAATTAAGATATTTTTCGATTTTGATGAAAATTGGTATCTGGGGGCATAAGGGGACTGCGAATTCAACCGCATAGGTTTCGTTGCCATAGCAACCGCACAAAGGCTTCTGATTGGTCGAAATTTAGATATTATGTTATTTTTATGAAAAATGGTATATAGCTAGGGACTGCGAATAAAACCCGCATAAGTTTCGTTACCATAGCAACCACACGGGGGCTTCTGATTGGTCGCAATTTAGATATTGTTTGATTTCGATGAAAATTGGTATATAGGGGTATTAGGGGACGGCAAATTCAATCACATATGTTCCGTTGCCATAGCAACTACACAATTGTATTCCGATTGGTTGCAATTTAGAAATTGCTCAATTTCACTCAAATTTAGTATGTACATTGGTGGTGTAATATGGCAATGCGATCCTTTTCTGATGTATCTTTGCGACTATAGGGGCAGTTTGGGGGACATCTGTAATGGTCCCCCATTACAATTAGTACTTGTTGCTGTAGATATTGTTAAGATGTTTCAACCAATTTCCTTATGCACATTCAACTCATGCTAAGTTTGCCAACCGATGTGATTTGTGCATATTTACGGATAATCAATGTGGTATAGGGCTTTTTTTTCTTCAAGTTTCAAGCTATACATTATGTCTCAACAGCACGATACTCACATGTTCAAACATAACCTCAATAATGTTAACCTACAATATGTCCTGCAAGCAGGGGATATAAATTCCACGAATTTGCTTGTTGCATACTATTTTACCAGACGTTATAGGTGCTTCTTTAGTGTATATAACCTATGTTCTTCTGTGAATAAGATGAAAAAATCCTGTTTGTTTCTGTATTTCAGGGAGTGCGACTTCCAAATCGGAATTGCGCGTGCTGCTGGTTGGGGAAACTGGATGTGGGAAAAGTGTGGCAGGGAACGCATTACTTGGAGCGGATCTTTTTACTGCGGGTGCAGAGGCTAAAGCTCACCCAAAAGATAAATGCTTCCGGGGGGAGAGCGAAAAAATCAAAGGATGGGACAAAGTCGTAGTTGTGGACACGCCAGGGAAATTTTTCTATATTTCTGATAAAGACGAAAAAACGAAGAAGGGCGAAATCACGAAAGTCGCAGGAATGCTTGCTCCTGGTCCGCACGTGATAATCCTGGTTCTGACCAAGGCCAATAAAGATAATGCAGTAAGGAGGAACGAAGAGAAAATCATGCAATTCTATGAAAGCATGTTCGGCGAGAATATTCGAAATCATTTTGTCTTTCTATTTTCTGGGATAGATAATGATGCCGACACAAAAGCAACCTTACCCAAAGGCAGCTATCTGAATGAGCGATTGAAAGACACCATTAAAGGTAAACACAAGAATTATCTTGCGTTTAATGTTGCGGCAGCTAGTAAGGCACAGAATTCTGAGAAGCTTCTTCGCGTCATCAATAATGTTGTCGAAGGAAATAATTGGAATTACCACACAGCCAAGGTGTTTAAAGATGTCCAAGTGAAAAATGAAGGAAGGGAGCAAGAAATCAAGAAGGATCAAGATGTTCGTTATCGACAAGATACCGAAAAACTGAAGAAATGGCACACACAGAAAATACAGGATCTAGAGCGGAAATACGCTACGCTATTGAAAGATATGGAGACGGATCACAAGAAGAAAACACATCCAGAAAACCTGAAGACACAAGTTCGGGACGAATACCAGAACGAAACAGGAATATGGGACACTGTAGCGGATGTGTCATCATACCTTTGGCAAACGTTCTCTCCCTACGTTAAAAAATATTTCAAGAAATAACACATAATGATACAGATATGAAGTGAAGGTGTGACAGTGGTGGCAGCATCACTTTCATTTTGAAGACTATACAGAAAGAAAAATATCCAAGTTGAAACCACGAGTGACATTACTTTTTGTACATCTAGAGGACGTAGGCTGATGATGGATATTTTTATATTTTCTTTAGATCTCTGCCTATCGGTAAAAATAATATTTTTTCTATATAAAAATTATGCCTTGCTTTATCAAATATATTTTTTCTCATGTTTTTTTTTATCTAAATTTTGTTTTTGAATAGTTTACTAATTACACTCATCTTTATATTTACATTAAATTCGACACTTATTATTCGAGTATTTGTGATCTATTTTCTTATTGATTTATGATTTCGTCGTTTTCATTGGCAAATCATTAAAACGGATTTATTGAACAAAATGCATGTCATGATCACTTAAACGCTTTTCGGGTATAATGTAGGCATATATTGTATTGTTCACGAGGAGATAAATATGTGCTTGTAACCTTTCATTTATTCTTTTTTATGTATTTATGCTAAGTCAACATCAATTCAATTCTCATGGTTATCCTGCTATCAATCGGATAACATGCTTCACAAATTACGATAATCTTGTTAAGGATTATACATAGTATACCGGGTATTATTTTTTTTGCTGACTTATTTGGATAATCATTCTTAATTTACATGCAATTATTGAAAAGAACGACATCTGCGAATAGCGGACAAAATCATTTCCCGGAGATTGAGGTAGAGATAAAAGAGGAGCTATAATTGTAAAATTTGTAATCTTCATCGCGTGTTCTCCAGGTACAGTAAAAGTAGAGCTTTGCTTATCTTTAATGATTATAAAGCCGGTTATCTGTAGTTGGCGTTCAAGGATTCAAATATTGTGAATCGGTCCTATGAACAATTATCAAAATAAGGAGCCACTAAATTAATCAACAGTAGAAGAATGGGTATTATACTGGAATGTTATGTAAAACTTTCTCGGATTTGGGTTGGGTTTGTTCATTAAACTGCTTATTTTAAAACTCATTTTCACTACTGACGCAGCTTTATTGATTAAACGTTTTATGTTTTGCTTTAATTTTTTTTGGTTCGACATAAACTCACACAAGTGAATCATGGCTGGTGATGGAGTGATGGCATATTAAAAACACTTTTACCATGATTGGATAAATTTCAACCCATTTTATAAACTGACATGTCGGATGATATTGAAAAACGTTAGATCTGTCTAATGATGTTCAGCTGTTTACCAACGGTTCTTACAAATTAACGTCGGCAGTCCGTACAGGAAGGGAGTCACAAAGGCGTTAGTCCTGTTCAATCAAGAGCGATTATTCCGCCTTTGCGTATTGCAGAGTTATCTTCTCTTGAGAGCAGGTATTGATTGTTACGTCATTGGTTCGTGTGAGAAAATTACGTCGTTTTCTCAAAAATTGATGACGTTACTCTCACAAACAAATGACGTAACAATCAATACCTGCTCTCAAGAGAAGATAACTCTGCAATACGCAAAGACGGAATATTTCACAAACTATTTTCTACTGTTCTATTTCACTTGGTAACATACATAAATAGTTTGTGCAGGTTGTAATTGTAGGCATCCTTGTGAGAATCACTTCCACTACTTTTTTGAATGTCACCTTTCTACAAATGAAAGACGTATTCTGGTTCAAAATATAAATGATTTGAATGCTAAGTTAAATTAAGAAATAGTTTTGTTTGGCAACTCACCATTTCCGTGACCGTAACAAAAACTTTTTCGGATATGTGCAAAACTTTTATCAAATCCAACAAGAGAATTTGAGTTCAAATTGCATATACTTGTTGTTACTATTGCAATATCATTGAAAATGTATATTGGGAGAAGGCGTTGATAAGTTGTAATAACTTGTGCCTAATCCCTTTGTCTACTTTTGACAATTAATATGTTTAAACTAAATATAATAGTTTTAGACTGAACAAGACTAACAACTTTGTGACACTTGTGTTATTTTTGTTCTGGTGGCCAACAGCAAAAGGTTGGAAAGTAGGCTTAAGGTGACGGTACATTTCGTTAAAGTTGAGGTAAAAACTGGTGTTCAGAAGAGGGAACAGAAAAAGGGTGTATTTTATTTGGTTTCCTTCGAGGTGGATAGACGTTTTCTATATGTATTAAAAAAAATCTTGAACTTCAAAACCATACTCTCCTTAATAATGAGATGAATTACTTCCTTTAGTACTTTTTGACTAAGCCATTCGTTTTAAAGTGCCAATGCAAACTTTGTTTCAATAAAGCTACATGTACTCATTAAATTAAAATAGTATTACGGAACATAACGGTGCCCAAACTATAACGTCGTTACATGTTGTAGTATATTTATGTAAAGAATTGGAGTGCAAGGCTGAAAGCAGTTTACACTGTTTGGCGTTTTGTCGAAGATGGTCCGCAACAACATAAAACAATTGGGTAGCTCATCAAATACACATTCATCTGCAATATTGACGAAATAATTTACTCAATAAGAATGCAATGGTATACAAACCAATTTTCGGTACATCATGCATAATTATAACACTTGTATTATCATTAATATTTCTTCTTCTAGTAATTAATTGTATAGACAAAAGCACAGTGTGCAACTATGTTTGCACATACCAAAATGGATCTATCAATATACATTTAAAGAAACCGTCTGTACTAAAAAATTAGTTTGATATCATTCAGGTGTTTTAAACACCAATGTTCATCGTGTAATAGGCATGTCAAGACATATAGTTATTATCGTAGCATATTAATCACAAAAATGTCACATGTTAGCAAACGAGGTGAGAATGCATTGCTGGATATTTCAATACCAAAATAATTAACTTAAAATCAATATGTTCATTTTCAGAAATAAATTGTTAAATTGTTGAAGGCGTAAAACAACCAGACAACTGCAATAGAGTGTCTTCCTGATGGCTCTTTTTCCCCGGGAAAATACTTCATTTTCAGAAAGTAATCATTTGAATTGATTAAGCGATGCAGCAACTAGACTTGTAAAACAGTTTTTCTCTCTTGATGGATGCTGAACAAATTGACAATGAATTTTACGAAGAACGACGCTGATTTTATTTCTATACCAAAAAACAAATCTTAAAAAGATAATAACCATAACCCCACTTACCCCTGGTTAAGTAGTACCTTTACCACCCATTCCCAACGCCCAAAATCATCGTTGACGTCATTCACAGTTAGTTGACATTCCCTGATGTTAACCTTTCCGTATATATAACAGTCACTTTCTTCCGTTTCATACCGTACTTATACCTCACAAAATATCTTACATTACACTCATGCCGTTCTCACCAACATATGTCGTTCAGTATCTTACAACATATTCATGGCGTCCTCAACGACCAATGTCGTTCAAAACATTTCAGCACACTCATGACGTTCTCATAAAAAAATGTTCAATATCTTACGGCACACTTATGTCATTCTCACCAAACCATGTCGTTCAATATCTAACAGTAAGAGTTCACTCATGGTGTTTTTGCAAACCAATGTCGTTCAATATCCTACAATACACTCATGACGTTCTCACAAACCAACATCGTTCAATATCCTACAACACACTCAGCGTCGTTCTTACCAACACACATGTCGTTCAATATCTTACAGTACACTTATATTGTTCTCATAAACCATGTCATTCAATATCCTAAAACACTCATGGCGTTCTCATAAACCAACGTCGTTCTATATCCTACAAAACACTCATGTCGTTATCACCGACCTATGTCGTTCAATATCCTTCAACACACTCAAGTCGTTTTCACCAACCCGTGTCGTTCAAAATCTTACGAAACCCTTATGGCGCTCTTACCAACCAATGCCATTCTTATAGATTATCACACAATGTTTTCAGGATTTGCCGTGGGAACAATTTTCTCATCGCCAACACGTGGATAAAACCGAGAGGCCATCTCAGGTGTACTCGAGATGTTAACCCTCAAATATTGAGTGATAAACTGTTTATCATCTATATTCTACTTCCTTTTATACTCCTCCATTCATAAAAAGTCAACGAAATACCATATCTCCCAAATGTCTTCTTGACTAAATGATCATCGAAATCCTCGTCCTATGACAAACGTAAACAAACATATTTCAGCAGGAAATACTATAAACCTGAAAACAATATAATCGTCATATGCACATCTACGTTCAAAATGATGTTGCTATTCCAACAATTATTTGGCAAAACTTTATGAAAATAATAAAATACATCATTTATATAGCGCCCTATATAATTTGGTAAATTATTCTAAAGCGCTTTACAACATATGGATAATAGTATTAGTTATAATAGTTAAACAAAGCAGACTAAAATGCAGATGTGAAGAAGTGAGATTTTATGTCCTTGAATTTGGCCAGGGTATTTGACTTTCTAATATCAGATGGTAAGCTATTCCACAACGTGGCCGACAGCCTCCCAAAGCACCGGCTATAGGTCACAGAACGAGATTTTTGGACACACAACAATGATTCTGTCTCCGACCGCAGTGATCGTGCAGCTGATACGGGGTAACAAGCTCCTGTAGGTACTGGGGAGCTGTTCCATTAGTGTCCTGTATATGTGTACACCAAAATTTTGTACTGCGAAATGTAGCGTACAGGTTGCCAGTGCAATGAATATAGCCAAGTGTGCTGTGCTCTCTCTTTCGAGTACGGGTAGCCAGATGTGCTGAACCCTCTGCAGACGACTAGTTAGTTTGTCAGATAAACCACAGTGACCTATCAAAGTATACCCTAGGTTTTTAACAGCAGGAACAGTCTCAATAGTTCTGTCATTGACCTTGAGCTGGAGAGCCATTGTAGCGAAGGCTATGGCGACAATGAATCTTTCCGATCGGTTTGAAATTTAGGCAATATTTTCGCGAGGAACCCCGAAATGATTTGTTTATGACGGACTATAATTCTTACGCGGATCACCTTTGTGTGGATACTATTTCCGGTTCATGACGT